TAAAAATGGATGAGGCTCAATACTGAAACAGTCAGGTAATGAACGAGGGAAAAAAATAAATGGAAAAAATAAAACTTTTATTTTACTTTTCTGCAGTAACAATAGTGGAATCAACAGTTGGAGTTTAAGGAGGTATGATAAAACTATAACTCTCAAGGTTTTCTCTCTGATGTGATTTGCATCAAATATTCTAGCCTGATGCCATAGTACCTGTGGCGCAGTGGTAGGGTAGCCATCTTGGGACCAGAAAATCAGAGGTTTGACTCCCCATCATGTCCGTTTGTTGCAGTGTCCTTGAACAAGACTAACTAAATGCACTAACTGCTCCCCAGGAGCTTAAATAGCTGCCAGCTGCTTATCTTGGGTGTATATATTTTTTTTTTTCTTCTCTCTGTCCTCCAGTGGAACCAGACGTGTCTCCCTGGTCTCGGTCTTGATGCCGGACTTATCTCAACTCCTCCTGGAATGTTTTGAAAACAACAAAGATGCTTTGTCTGTTTCCTCACCCCTCCCTTCCCCAAGGCCGTGGACATGTAACAGAGCCTCACCTGAGCTGATGATGAATGACACCTCTTATCTGGACAATGGCTGAGGGGGGGTTTTGGACTATGCTACGACTTTCCCTTAAAAATTCAATGTCTTCACCGGCCTATCTGTACATGTATAACGTCTGTTTATGTTGCTTTGCTGTGGTAGGTTTTTTTGATGCCTCAGATTGTGCCCTGTCTAGAACACAGCGTGAGAGATCTTTTTTTTAATACCGTCTCTCCTCATGTTTTCTTCCCTTTTCTCATCTAAGCTAAATGTTTTTCTGAATAAGCATAAGAGGGCCGCGCTATTTATTTATAGCTGCAGCTTCATGCACTCCGCCCATCTTTCGGACGACTGTACGTACATATTCTCGTTGTATCTTGGTGCAATGACAATTAAGTTTATTCTGATTCTGATTCTGAGCTCATGTATGATGGGAAAAAAACAAAAACACATTTTGCCAATGTACATGCAATGATGAAAACACATGGTAGTAATAATTACTGGTGTTTACTCCAAATAAAATGACCTACTGAAAAGAATACTTTACCTACTTATGAGCATAGCAGCTCTTCCAGTGCAGTCTGGGATACTTTCTGCAGGAATTATTTAATATTTCTGCAGTTTTAATCATGTAATGTAAAACAGTGTAACAGTTTATAAAATAGTGGTCACACGAACCACAATTAAATTGTAAAGATTAAAGTTTTTTGAGTTGGCAGTAATCCATTGTAGTCTTGGCCCCACATGGTCTAGCCATAAATTTGTCAGTCCTGTCAAAATGTGTCTTTGGTGATCTCCAATCTTAGATTCTCCAAACTCAAGTAATTCTAAGAGCTATTACATAAGTTATTCATTCTTTTTAACTTGCAGCAAATCTCCAGTTTAAAAGATCTGGACAACTCCTTTTGTGACAATCATGATTTTTCCCAACGAGTTTTGACAGACTTGGATGCTCCCATGTCTAATCTCACCCGGTTTACGTTAGCTGTTTCTAATTTGGATTTCAACACATTAATATTGGCCATTAATATAAAGATGAACATGAGCTGCTCTGCTGCCTCAAATCTGTCATGTACAAATGTATGCACTGCCATAAACCTCATCTTTAAATGTGAACATGAGTGCAGCAAAATCACAAATCAAATGAGTTTTGTCTGAATAATCCAGAACAAGAATTTATAATATAAACTATATACCACCTGCTAATGCAAATGCATGTGAGCCTGGGGATGTGACTGCAAAAAGGAGGAAGACTGATTCCAAGTGTATCCAAGTTTTGCCTGCGTTGTTACTTTGACATTGCAGCTCTGTGTGTGTGGTCAGCACAGCTCCCCACACCCTGACCTCAGGGTGGAGTTCCTCCGCTCACAGCTACTAAAGCAACTAATCACAGCGAACAGCTGCATCCCTCACTGTACAAATCCTCGACGCCTCGCTCTCCCGCCCACATGTTAACTCTGGCAAACACATACTGTACCCCAGCATTCACGCACTGCCACTCTTCCTTTGCTAATGGCAAGCTGCAGCTGACTGATGTTTAAAGTGCGGGGTTTAGTGTGTAGGCCTGAGATAAGCCTTGCTGAGCTGTGAAAACACAGATTACATTTCTCTGGCTTATTACAGACACTGTGCTTCTGCTTCCCAGCCACAATGTAATTCTGACCCAAAAACCGCAGCCTCCGCTTGGCGGGGAGATACGGCTGGATGGGGACCCCCCACCCCACCTCTAGCAGAGCTTTGACAGGCGTGCTAATTCCAGTCTGCATTCCCCCATATGTTTTCTGCACGGCAGCCCCCTCCTGCGAAATCAGCAGCCACGTTTCTTTTAAGTGCCTTCCTCAATTCATCAAATCTGGGTCAACAGCTCAACTATTGTCTCTCCGCTGTCGTGCCTGCACCTTTTAAAACACTTTAAATTACCAGAAAGAATGAAAACTTCAGTAATACCCATCAATTTACAGATATGACTGCTGAGTGAGCAATCATCCGTCAGTATGTCAGAGCAACCCCTTGAGAGCCAACTTTAATACAATAATGTTGTTTTTAAGGAATAAATTTGATATTCTCATCACCCAAATTGCCTCTAAATGAGGTATAATTTTGATATTTGTGTTTAATGTAGCATAAGTTGAGATATCCCAAATGAAAACGAGCATTTACTTTCTTGGATTGCCAAAGTCTAACTGGCATACATTAAATCCTTATTTCTGGCAGGCTAATAAAGTACTCCATCTGCAAATACTTAGCCCATTTTCCCCCTCTGGTTCAATCAAAGATAAAGACCATTGTGTTCCAGTTCCAGACGTAAGACAATATCTTCCGAACCTCATAGAAAACAATTAAGACAGGATAATTACACCACTGACTTGGAATTTCAGCCAAATCCTGAGGTTTGTGGTGAGGAGGGAAGAGAGCAAATGTGAAAAGTGGAGTCTTGTTTTACTCTCTTTGCACTCTATGGAGTAACACTGTTTATCTGTGATGAAGTAACACTGTTTATCTATAAGCATATGATGTAATGTTTTGGTTTTGGAGCCCTAGCTCTGCGTGTGATATGCTAAAAATCTTATCTTTTGACACAAGGGTCTCTCATCTGACTCTGCAAACAGTTGATCTGGTTTATAAGACTAAATAGTCTAAACTTTAAACAGAGATGTGTTCTCTTTACAACAAACTGTGAGAACCAGGCATCCCAAGAGAAAAATATCCTCACATCTATCTTTAAAATATCAATATCCGTTCCCAGCGAACGACACAGTGCTTCTCTTGGACGTTGAAGCAGGCCTGAAGTCCTGCTGCTTTGGGTGTGTCACAGACTGCAACACATCCAAAGGGATTGTTGGGGTGGCCTGGTGAAAGAGTGGTGGAGGTAGAGGGATCATGCATATTTTTCATACTCTGTACAGCGTTTGCACGCTCAGAGATTCATAAGCTCTAAAGGAATGCTTTTAAAGTTTGTAAAATAGCAACAAGAAAATACTAGTGCTGGAACTTTTTAAATCAAATGAACTATAGGCTGCACAGACCTGGATTTGAAAGTTGCACCAACTGAACTAAGAGTGCAACTTTTGCTTCCCTTGATGACACTATGGTAACAGATTTAGGCACTATTTGTCATTCAGCTTCACCCAAGGCAACAAGTTTATATTTTGTTCTTAAAGCGCAGAATGAGGCAAACAGTGTTGGGTCATCAAGTTCTGGCTCACTTGGAAGCAAAAGCAGAACAAAGTGCTGGTGGCCCTGGATAGCATCCACAGTGCTGAAGAGTAAAAACCCAGAGAATGGGACCTGTCACTCCCACTCAGCTGCACCTGTGATCTGAGCCACCCAGAATGACGCTCCGATAAGTGGCTAATCCCAGCATCCCCCTGCTGGGTCTGCAGCCCCCCACTGCCATGACAACCGGGGGGGAATCTCCTCCGGCAACAACTTAATTGGATAATTTCCTCCCGGTTTCACTCTGTGTAATTCTTCTTTTGTTAAGTAAAGTCTGTGCCATCTGACTGCGAACGTTTCTTTTTATTCGAGAGGTTGCAAATCCAGCATGTGTTGGTGTGCGCTACTAGTTCCATCAAGCAAAGAAAATCTGGAGATGTTTTTTTAGCGGAAGCCACTCTGCAGCAGACCACCGACCAGTGGGCGGGTTTGTCTCGGAGTGGGAGCGCAAAAGAAATATACAGCCTCTGTTTTCAGCACCACAAAAAAGTAACCACTTTAACCACTGTAAACATTTATTGTCCTTTGTGTTGCATAGCCTGACAATTTATGTTACGCCCATTCAAGTCCCGGGTCACAACATAAACAGGTGCCCCACCCTCCTGCACAGACGGCAGAGACTTGCAGACTATGCCAGGGAAAGTCATTATAAACTGTGAGTGTGTGTGTGTGAGTGTGTGTGTGAGTGTGTGTGTGTGTGTGTGTGTGTGTGTGTGTGTGTGTGTGTGTGTGTGTGTGTGTGTGTGTATGTGTGTGTGTGTGTGTGTGTGTGTGTGTGTGTGTGGTAGGCAGCTACCACACTTGTGAAATGAAAACGGCAGTGCTAGCATAGCACTTTAAGAAGATGAAGGATTGGTTTCAGCAGGCTCATAAAACTGAAAACCACAGTAAGAGAATAAACCTTTACGGGGTACGTTTAGTTTGGGAATGAAGACATTTCAGCTGATTAATGAAGTGGAAGTATCTGACTCACCCTGAAGAGGTTAAAGGATCTGATTTCATAACTTCATTTAGGAGAAAGAAGCTGCCTTATATAAGCTTAATGGAAATCACTCCTGTTCTAAAGCCCAACTTGCGCAAAGCACATAGTGCGTGCAGACGTTCAGACAGCAATGAAAAATGGAGAACTCAGAGTAGGAAGAACCAGGAGACGGAGATTTTGATGCTTCCTGAAGGTTTTGTTGTTTATTTCTGTAAATTGTTTTGCAATCAATGTGTTTGTGTCTAACCCTCCTTCTGTCCAGACTTACCTTCCTCACAAGCAGTGCCACTAAATCCTGGACAGCATTTCCACTCTGTGGAGGTCACAGTGCGGTACACCACTTTGTATGAAGGTCTCACCACTGTCTTGTAGCTGAAAACCAAAATCAAACGTGTCACGCACCTCCACAAAGAAAGCGAAACAATACCTGCGTAATGACTTGTAAAGACTCATACGTCAATCTTCTGGGTGTATTTGAAGCACCCGTTAAATTTAGAATCGGACTCTCTAAACTGAGAAACCTGGATCGACCTGCATCAAATCAAAGGGCTGAAAAAAAACATGGAGCATGTGCACAGCTTTCAAGTCTAACCTGAATTTAGGCAAATAAATGGGAGATCAAGTTAATTTACAGAATATATTTAATTCTGTAGTAAATACAAGGAAAAACTAAACATGCTACAAAAGCTGTTGCACACTTCAAGACACTGCAGAGACGACGAACACTGCAGGTTTTTGAATGGTGTGTTTGAGCTTCCTGCAACAGCATCAATACCAACAAACCTCGTGCTGAAAATTCACATTTACAGAAGAGTTGAGTTGGTCTTTACGGACAGTTTTATATGAACAAAGTGTGGATGGTGAGGTTTTATATGACTCAATAAAACGTTGAGTTAAAAGACAATACAAAGGAAAAAGGACCTCTTTAAATAATGTGGCTTCATAATCTGTTTTATTTAACTGTCCACAACATTTGTCTTGTAGTGTATTACGTTAAATTGTGAAGCTAAAATGCATTTTTGTCAAAAACAACAAAATCAATGCATTTCAATTAAAGTTAAATGTAATAATAATAGTTATAAAGAGTTATATTAACCTGCTTTATACAAAACAAATCCAATAAGAAACAAACAGGATTTTAAAGTTGCATTCTTTATTTTAAAGAAGTTCGTATCGGTGTTGTCAGTTGACCCTCTCACCTGCCTCCTGAGCATCCCTGAGGCCAGCGGCACGCCTGGTACACCCGCTGGAGGACGGTCCCGTTCTGCACCTGGCAGGTCACCGTCTTAGTCACTGTATGAGGACACCAGTTCCTGAACAGATGGACAAGTGAAGACCAGTCAGAGATGCAGAGGACAACAATAAAAAAACGAAAAACGACAGCAGAATCGAACACACACGTTGCTTTTAGATGAATAAAATCATATTCTCTGATGAAACACATGCAGTCACACGTTCACACAAAGCCACACAGCCACTTTCAGATGCTTTGGGCTTCCCTCCCCCACCCCATTGTTTTGAGGCTTGCTTATGGTGTTTACATGCTTTTAATCAGCTACTAATAAAATCAGTGGTTCTATTTACATTGAACACAACTGATTGCATTTGGTTCTTGGAGGAGGTGGACGTTCCTCAGAAGGGAGTACAAAGGACATCAAGGTCTCACACAAAGATTAAGATTTTTCAGCACGAGTTACTGCTGTGTCACGAGTTCACTCCCTTCACAGCGAGGAATCGTAGGACTTTATCAGGACTCACTGAGGCCGTTAGAAACCTTTGTTAGGATCAATGCAGAAAGGTTCTGATGGTGAGGACGCGATCACACGAAAGACTTTAGAAACAAGTTGTGCTTTGGTTTTGCAATGTCTCGACAAACCTCTAAAAGCTACAAAATCATGTATGTAACGGTTGATTCATGTAAGAACTAATTGGTTTAGTTTAATCCTAACTGAGATCCATTTTAATAGATGTTTCTTTGTGATTGCACAAGTGTTTCTGAGGAAAGTCTACCTTCACCTCATTCTGACGATTATACAGAAACATTTGGCTTAGATTTGTTAAAAAACAGTGTGGCAGCTGAGCTAAACTCCTGTTATTCTATCAACACTTAAACTTACAAATAGCATCATTACTTTTATAAGAGGGAAAAAAGGAAACAATTACTCTGTTCTGTTTTCACACAGTCGATGAATTCTTAGACGGGAGCTTTGGAAACCACAGAGCAGACCATGTTGCCCAAAGCACCAAACCCACTCTGTGTGTTCTGCTGCCAGTGAGTTTGTGAGCGTAGTGGTCTGTTCCCACCAAAGTCTGTTTGTCAATATGTGAGACCATATGTTTGAGGGTATTAGAGACAGTTTACACTAAAGAAACCCACCGCGGGCAGAGGATGTGAGGCAGCCTTGAACCAGCTCCCTTTAACAGCCCCCACATGTGGCGGCGGCCGCACACAGACCTGAACCAGCGACCAGATAAATGTTTGTGTTCTGCTGCAGAGGTTGGCTTTTTCACATGACATGTTCTTCTACCAGTTATGATGGGGTTTAGATTTTAAAACCCAGCAGAACATTTGTAAAGTTCTTCCTGTTAGATTAACGGTAACTAAAAATAAGCTAAAATAAAAACACTTGTAAAGACTGGTGAAATGATTTCTCAAATTAACCAAGCAAAGGAATTCATTCACGAGCTATTTTGCTGAACATTGATCTACAGTTCTGTGCAAAACTCGAATCATCCCACGTTTTTCTGTATCGTGCTTCCAAGGAGCCAGATATTCTTGCAATTTTCTAAATGGTCTTCATTCAAAGTTCTTCAGGCGTTCTGGTGAGCTCAAAGTTTTTCTTTATACTTTGCTTGCTTTTTCCTCTTACGTTCAGTCCAGTTTGTGAACACTGATTTTTGATTTGTTGGGCACTTGCTATAACTTTGACCCACGAGTCATTGGGCTTCTTAAACTAAAAGGATGAACACATGTTGAGTCTAAACATAACAGACAGAAAACAAAACCCATTAGCTAAAAAAAACTTTGCATAAAGTGGATGATGCATCTGTCAGGTCATGTGTAAGAGATTTGCTGGATAAAAAAAATTACTGTTTATTAAAGCCACAAAACCTGTAGAAACACTGCTTAAGATCAATTTAGGACAGATGTGGGCAACATACACCCTGAGGGCCAAAAGTGGCTCTTGGGACAATTTCCATCCATCATTGAAAAGAAAACAATTTTAGATAAGTTGATGCAAACCTACATTTTATTAATGAAACTCAAGGAGGTCTAAATTAAACATCTTGGACAACTACAACAAAAAGCTTTGAATTAAACTAGACTGCCTGTTTTAAGTTGCTGTGTTTCCAAAACTAGATTAAACCTTAAAAACTCCAAAAAGCAAACATTTAACTCTTATTTTATTTGTTCTTTTATTTTGCACATGTTGTCCCCAAAAGCCATTTTAAAGAAAGTAAATCTTATATTCCTAAAGAGTATTGGGGAGACATATTTTTTAATCAAGCATGCAAAAACAGGAGAGAGCCTGAAAAGAAATCATCCAGAATATCTGTTTTAAAGAAATGTATTTTCAAATTATCTATGCTGCCCTTTGATTGCTTTAAATATCCTGATTTGGCAATCTTGGGGCAAACAACGTTGCCAACCACTGCTTTAAAATATTGCATTAAAAACATCTGGCTACATAGAAGAAAAGTACAAAGAAATAAGGGACTACCCAAGAGTTTTGCACAGCAGCACTACGGTACACGTGTTGATCATGTCATTTCTTGGCCTGCTTCAGGATAAAAGGATTTGATTACTGGTTAAATGTTTCTGATTTATTAAGAAGCCATTGTCAGGTGGAGGTGGGAGACGGCGGGCCTGGCTAAAACTGCTCCAGACGTGACAAACATCTTGTTTCTCAGGCTGAGAGGATGTTTCACCTGGAAATGGGTAAGACTGTCACCAGAGGGTGGATTTTATGACCCATCCCCCCCCCCCTCTCTTTATAATAATTAAAGCGGAAATGCCAACCACGCTCAATTAATTCTTTATTTACTGCAAATCTTAACAAAAAACAGCAAATAGTATGAACTGGACGCAGGGAATATTATAATCGTGTGAATTCACACGATTGAGATCCAATTTTCTTCCGTAAGTTTTCCGGCATCTTTCTCGTTGCACAATTTTTGTGCTATTTCAACAAATCACATAAACATTCAGCTCCTTCAGGAGAAGGGTGCTATGACTTTTGGTATTGATGTAACATTAGTTTTTTGAAATATTCAGCCTTTTCTGCCATTTTCTTCTTATAGAAAATGAATTGAGCTCATTTTACATCCTTCAGATCTGTTTACAACCTTTTACTGCTCCTTTCACATTTTGTTCTGGTTCAGCTTCTTTCAGCTTCTTTGTGCGAATTTAAACTTTTTTCAGCTACTTTCAGTTAATTTCAGCTGGGTTTTTTTTTTTAGCCGTTTTGTGCCCCTTTCAGATTTTTTTCTGCTAACTACAATATTTGTGTGCTTCTTCTAAAAAATTTCTGCTAAAATCAACTTGTTATGCTCCTCTCAGCTTATTTATGCTAGTTTCAACTTTTTCTGCTATTTCAGTTACTATTTAGCTGTTTTTATGCTAATTTTTGCCTTTTTTTTTTAGCTCATTCCACATTTTTTGCACTCATTTAAACTTTTTTTCAACCCAATTAAAAAAACATGAGCTCTCTCCACTTCATTCTGGTAATTAAGTTTCTTTCAGCCTTTTTAGCTTTAGTTTTTGCTAATTTCAGCATTTTTCAGATAATTTTCACGTTTTGTGCTCATTTCTGCTTTTTCCAGCCTAACTGGGCACAATTGTGCTCTCTCCAGTTCCTTCTAGTAATTTAGGCTTTTTTCTGAAATTTTAGCTCCTATTCATCTGTTTTTTTGTTTATTTGTTTTTTGGATGTTTTTTGTCATTCTTTTTCAGATAATTTCCACTTTTTGTGCTCATTTCTGCTTTTATAAGAACCAGAAAACATGTTCTTTCTGCTTTCTTCTGCTAATTTAAGCTTGTTCTACTCTTTTAGCTGCCTTTTTAGCATTTTTTTTAAATAATTTCAACTGTTTTCAGAAAAATTCAAGTTTTTCTTGGTAATGTCTGCTACTTTCAGCTTGTTATGTTCCTTTCAGCTTTTTTTCTGCTAGTTTCAGATACTATTTAGCTGTTTTATGCAGCTAATTCTACATTCTTTGAGCTCATTTCAGCTCTTACTTCCTTCTGGTAGGGTATGCTTTTTTATGCCTTTTCAGCTACTTTTCACCTGTTTTTTATTTTTTTCTAATTTCAGCTTTATTTTAGCTGATTTCCTAATTTTGTGCTGATTTTTTAAACTTAATTCAGCTATTATTTGTTTGGTCTGCATTCTTCTGCTAATTTATGTTTGTTCTTTAATTTCAGCTACATTTCAGTATATTTTTTAGTTAATTTCAGCTGTTTTTCAACAAGTTCTTCAGCAATAAGCATTCACTCTGCATTTTCGCAGGAAATGCAGTTTCTCTAGTTCTGTTATATTTTCTGTCCAGCTGCAGAAAACAAGAAGCACAGATGCTCAGTCACTTTTAAATGTTTCATATTCAACATCGTCCTCTTACTCGAGGCACCCATGTGCCATGAAGTGTGAAACCCACCAACACCATGCTGTTTCTCTGGCAAAACACCAAGCAGGCCCTCAGTGAGTATCAGGTCTCAAAGCACACATGGCACACTCTGAATGCTGGGCTCAAGCTAAATAAATCATCAGCCATCTCTGTCACATGTAGCCACAGCCAACAGTTAAAAGAGAAATCCCACCAAAATCACAGCTTTGTCCCATCTGTTCCCCAGTGCTGCTGACGCCAAGTGAGGAAGTCGGAGAGATACAAAAGAGAGCTGAAGCCTCGAATGTAATGTAGGCACCTGCAAACAGGATCAACAGACGTTCATACGACATGTTCTGGTTGCACAGTGTGCTCTCGTTTGAATTTTCATTCTGCATCTTTACTCTTCACTTGGAAGTTGAAGCACTTTTCATCTCAGACTGCATGAGAAGGAGGAAGAACATGGGAGGAACAACTGTGAGAACTGACATGTGGGTTGGTGAGGGCAAAACACAGATGAGAATCATCTCAAAACTGTCTGAGTAAATCCTTTTCATCCAAATATGAATTCATGTATAGTGGGAGGAGAGGGGGCAAAACACTCCAAGACATGTTTGAAACATCACTAGGATACATATCTAAAGGAATTTCTCTAGATTTCTCATTCCAGGAAATGCTTTGGGGAAACAAAGGACAAAAGACTGATGTGTCAAACAACCAGAGGAAAGGAGAGGTCATCAAAAAGGTCATGAAAGTCCAATGGGAAAAGAGAAATAAGAGAACTGACAATTATGAATAAGTGTTGATCTGCAGGGGAGGTGTAAGATAAATGTACAACAAATGACATTCAGGTGAAATTAATGAAAATGGAAGGAAACATTCCTATAGAATAATAATCCAAAAGATCAAGGTAAAAAAAAAAAAAACAGAAATTTGTTGTATTTAGAAATCAAATTTTAATCTAACAGAGATTAGTGACGTTGGTGGGATTTCACATTACTCGTTCAAAGCTCCTGAACGGTTTCAGTAAATCATCAAAGCATCAGGAAGAGGACTTGAAAGTCAAAGTTAAGTGACTCTTCACAGAAGACTGAAAAACACAAAAAACACTCATTTGTCTTTGTCTGGTTTTGAGTTTTCAGGCCTGGACACCTGTGAGCTTTCAGCCCGAGTGATACGGGCATGTGGATCTTTAAGTGTTTGTAAAAAAAAACTCAATTCCACCTAAAGAAGAACTCATTTAAAGTGAACAGCTCAGTGGATGATTAAAACAACTTGTTGCCTACATTCTAATGTTCCTGATATCACCGAACAAGTATTTTCCTGCAATGATTTAAATGCTTTTTGTTCAATCTTCACTCAAGCAACTAAGAGAGAGTTTTTGAAGTTATTTGGAAAGACAGATACAAGTATGTTCTGGGTTCAGCCGACGGGAATCTCAGGCAAAATCCCTATAGTGATTTAGAGGGGAAACAAGTATGGCAAGTTCTTAGAGGAAGGACATGAGACCAGCAGGAGAGATTCATATACCCCAGTAAGCCAACAATGCACTGAGCTTATACAGTTATTAAGAAAGATAAGGGTGAACAAACACTTTATCAGCTCCTCTACAAAGTGGCCAAGCCAATAAAACAAAATTACTCTAGAGCTCTTAATCCGCTTTGATTTTTGGAGCGGCTGTGTAAAGATAGGGCTGCTGTTCCGGTCCTTGTTAATGAAGGGTTTCTTTCTCCGTCTGCCAAAATAAAAATCTATATGACTGAACTCTACTGGCAAGTCCCCCCCCCCCCCCCCCCATCCATTATCTTTTGTCCACTTTGTCCTTTTAGGGTCGCGGACGTCACTGGTGCCCATGTCCAACCATCAGAGTGCGAAAGGTGGGGACACACATGTGGGCAGGTTTCCAGTCCATCACAGGGCCAGACAAACAAGACAAACAACCATTCACTCTCTCACTCACACCTAGGGACAATTTAGAGTTACCAATTAGCCTAACACGCATGTTTTTGGTCTGTGGGAGGAAACAGGAGTACCCAGAACATGTAAACTCCACCAGAAAGGTCTCCCGGCCAGCTTCACCCAGCTCCCCGGCCGGGATTTGATTTGTTGGCCCTCTTGTTGAGAGGCTGCTGCACCAACTGTGCCACTGCCCGACAAGTTGTTTTTGCATTTCAATGTCAAGCTGTAAGCATTGTTTGCTCTGCTGACAAAGATCAGATTTAGACAGCGGGTGGACTGAGATATGTCACCTCAAACCCACTGACCTCTCTGAAGACAACTTTCTCTCCGCCTCGTCTTCCTTCCCTGTACACGAACACTTAGCTTTTCTCACAAACAAGCCCAGATGTTGGGAAGCCCCCCCCCCCCCCCAGCTTCTTGTGTTTAGTAAACAGTGCTTGCACACATCTGGATGTGAGTGCCAGGGGAAAGAAGAGCTAATGGAGCGACACAGGCCAGAGGGGACATGTAAAGCCACCAGGACATACCCTCATCACATTTCTGCCTCTGGCCACTTTCAGCCCACCCACACGTGAACCATAAACATTTGTAGAAGAAGCAGATGATGAAGTTGCTGCTGCAGGAAGAGCAGCAAAACATCTCAAAAACAGCTAGGCACAGACAGACAACTGGAGAGCAATGCATGCTGCCAACAGGAAAAAGGAAACCAAGTGTCAGATGGACAATAGGAGCTGGCAGATGGATGGAGATGGGAGTTGCTCTGCAGCTTCACACACAAAGGCTTAAAATAAACCGGACCGGTTATTTGGTGTGGACCCAGCAGTGACAACAAGTTAATGTCATACTGACCTTTTGTGATAGATTGAGGTGTGAGCGGCTGCTGAGTGTGTCTTATAAAGTCCCGTCCTCCAGGTCGCGTTCACAAACGCAGCCAGCCAGAGGACCAACGCCGTGCAGAGACAACTTTTCCTGCAGAGTGCGTGCGCGTTCCCTCGGTGGTGCGAGCCCATTTCCGTGGCATTAAATACCTATGTCCAGAAAAGTCTTGAATGAGCCCTATAATTAGAACTCGATCCGGGGTGAGTCCAGCTCAGCTGTGGGGAGAGATTTATCAAACTGCGCGCGCTCGGCTGGAGAAGACGCGCATCCTATTCGCTCTCACACCTTCAGTGAAACTGTTTCAGAGCCGGGTGCATGTCTGGAACAGCGAGCTTGAGAACCCAAAGTGAGCTACAGGAAACGCCACGACGCTTTTTAAATGTCAAGATCCAACTTTTGGGAACGAGCCTTGAAGCCTCGGCGCGCGCTGCCCACCACCTCCGTCTGCGAGCGCGCTCATCCAGCAGCGTGCACGAAGCAGTTTTATAGTCTCCCCCAGGTTTGTAAAAAGCCCTGGCTCCGTTTCCACCCTGCCCCTTGACAACCACTCTCACTGAGGACAATGCACGCTCAAGGCGACGGCACTTTTACGCACAGCCAATGAATGAAGGAGGGGCCGCTGCCTCCCAGTGATGCTCTGAAACCACAGGAGGAGCTGGGACATCAATTACGTGACTTATTTTTAGCAACAAACTATTACAAAGCCATGCCACTTTAATAAAACGTTTTCTAAAGTCTACTTCTGACGTTATCATCCATAAATATCCGCGCAGTCATTTAAATCGTTTTTACATTTTCACTGCAAGCAGCAGCTGGAGCACAAAATTTTTACTGTCAGCAGTTCCTTTCAGACTCATCAGCTGCAGAACAGCCTGTTTGACCGTGCATCTACTGTGGTTTCATCTCTCCAGGACATTTTTACAATCATAGGGGATGTTTCAGAATGGGACACCTCCTCAGAAGGAGATCAAAGAACAGTCTATGAACTTCATCAAGGTGGTAGCCCACCTGCTCACAATCACAACTCATGGAAAGTCAGAGACAGGAAAAGAGCAGTGGTGGCTCATAGATGAGGACATTCCTGAAGTCACGTGCATCTGAAAATAATTTTGAGCTCTGAGGAGGGAAAAGTAATTACTCGAGAAGATGTCCTTCTCCTCTTTCCATTAGTTCTCTTATTTGGTAAACTAAAAAGGAAGCATTGTCTATTGTTTGCAATGATGTGCATTTGATCATAGATCTTAAACACAAAAATCTGTTCCCCCTTCTTTCCAACAAGGGAACTCTGCCTTCTCCTCCTCCTTCGCTTGAAAACACTAATTTTCCCTCTTTATGACAGACGCACCAGTTAAAGAAGGGGCCTGTCTAACCTTTACCCTCTGCTATTCAGACAAAACCCAGTATGCTAATGAGATGCATTCTTGAGACCAAAGAAAGAGCAATTATTTTCTATTTTTCCATTTTTTTACATCCACAGAACAGAATTTGGCTTAAACTGACAAAAAAGGCAACAGGATGAATGTTACACAAAAAGTGGATGCAAACTGCTGCAGTTTTCTTTTGGGTCATTGCTGCACCAGCTGCCAGATCCTTTGAACAATCTGAATTTTAGAGGAAACTTCATCTGTTTTACCATATCTGATCTCAACAGTAAACTGTAAAAGTACAGTGCACACTAACTACTAGAGGAGTAAACACTAATTGTTGCTGTATTTTGTTATGTACGCCAATATGTTGTCCCAAAAATGTCTGCAGAAACATTGTGTAGCTGCTTATTTGTTCTTTGTTGAACAAATTTAGACTTTTACACCTAAAACATTTAGACAAAGTGGCCTGGAGAAGTTGAGCCTGGTAAATAATTAGAAATATAACCAAAGAGGCTGAGGAGAGTCCTGTGCTGCCATCTAGTGAAAAATAACGAACCAGTACTGGGTACTTTCAAACAAATACCTATCGTTTTTCAGTTCAGTTTAATTCAGTTTATTTATATAGCGCCAAGTCACAACAGAAGTCATCTCAGGGCACTGAACAGAAACATTCATATACAAAAACAATAATTTAACATCATTTAACTGAGGAGCAGACTGCTTTGAATTTAACTCCATCACAGAACTCTCATCTTGAGCGAGCATGAAGGCGACAGTGGAAAGAAAAAACTCCCTCATGAGGAAGAACCCTTTAGCAGAACCAGGCTCAGGACAAGCGGCCATCTATATGTATCAAAGTCCACCCTTTCATATTTGGCATCATTGAAAAGCACTAAATGTCCTCTGTAGAGAGCAAAGGGAGTTAATTCTGTAATGTGCTGGGTGGGAGATATTCAGGATTACAAACGTCTTCCAAGGAGGACAAATCTGAACTGCTGGTAGTCAGGAGGCAATATCAAATGAAAACTATTCCATTTTAACAATTAATTTAAGGAAATGAGGTCAGGTATATTAAGAACAAATGAATTAGTACTTTTACAGATAATTAAAGTGATGTTACTTCAGCACAAAAACAAAACTACCCAGTGGATCAGCTTAATGAATTTGAGGGCGATCTTGAGTCAAAGTTGAGGCACACGGTGTAAACATCCAAAACCAATCTCACCCATTTTTCTCCTCCACATGGAAGTGGCGTACACTGGTGTGCTTGTGTTATGGAGTACAAAACTTAAGAAAACACTTGTCGGGTTGAACTGTATTTGGTTAAAAAAAGGTGCAGTGGTTGCTTACACCTTTAGTCTAAGGCCGTGAGCCTTTTTGAGGACGACTTTGACTTGTTCATGTCAGAGGAGAAAGTAGCTCAAATAAGCACTCAATACAAACAACTGTCTGTAGAAGACTAAACCTGTACACACACGTCCAACCTTATGGCAAACAAACCTCTGCAGCAGACGGCCACACTGGGTGTCACTCCTGTCAAATGGGAAACAGGCGACAGTTCACGTAGGCTCACCAATAAGAATGTGGACAAATACTGCCAGGTCTGATTAGTCTAGGTAAACCTTAACTAATTATGGTACAAAATGATCAATGGAATCATCTGATTTACTAAAGTGACTGCATCAGACAAATGATGGGGTTAAAAAATAAATACTATTTATTTAAATCAAAACTTTCATGTAAAGGCGTTAAAAATGACATTTTACACATTTCTTTAGGGTAAATCTACATTTAAGCAGCAGCACGAATTCATATGAAGTTATGCTTTTTAGAAAATGATATACAAGGTAAAGAATTTTCTTGATCTATTAAAAAATGCTGCTACATGAGCTTAAATGTTTTGCAGCGAACCTCAGTGTAGACTGTGATAAATAAAACAGAGATGCATTTATGACTGAAAGAGACTAATCACATTTTATTGACATTTAGAACAAATGATTTTAAAAAGGTAAGGCATGGAGTGTTTGCCAATGAAAAACTTTTTTTTTTAACTATAGAATTAAGGCAAACCACACGTCAAAGCACTTTAGCTAACCAATAATTATCAATTAAAAACATCTAATCACTAACAGGTCTTTTTACAAAACCTGCTGAAGGACAGCCTGCTGTGTGTTTATTGTGCTTTGGCTATCTGGTCGTAAAGCAACGAGACAAAAATTGGGCAAAGCAAACCATACAAGATGACAATCAGGCAGTTTCAGTTTTCACATTATTCAAGTTTTGTAAGAAAAGAGCAAAAAACTGCCAGAAATTACAAAAATAGTATAATAATGTAATAGAACAAATTCAGACATTTAATACAAAGAAGACAAAAAGCTAGATTTGTTTCAGGAAGAAAATCTTGAGTCTTAATAATTTTAATGGTTCACACCAGCATACAGTGTAATAAACCCAACCACTAGGCTGAATAATGATGTAGGAATTTTGAACAAGTCTGTTTCAGACTAGCAAAGCCGTCAACAAATGAATGCTTTGGATTTTTATTTTTTTACATTCTTAAATTAAGCTTAAGAATGTAAAAAAAAAGAAACGCATCCAATCAGCCTCCATCTGAATTCTAAATTAAAAAACATATAATTCTGTGTCAGCATGCACACACGTCTCACACAGCTGTCCAAGTATTCAACACCAAAAGGCCAAAACTGCTTCAGTGTTTTAATGACACACACGAAGGAACATAAGCTGAGGTAGGGCTACACACCAGTACCTGCACTGGACTGAGGAAAGGCGTTTATCATCAAATACACCCCTATAAAAAGCTACTCCTCATAAACACACTCAGGTGACAGGATTTATATCCTTAGACGAGGTGTATTTCATTAAGGCCATAAGTGAGGGGTTGTCGATCGTTATAATGATGTCAGAGTAAAAGCTGATCTGCTGATGAAGAAAGACATCATCCTCAACGGCAGGACAGCTGAACACGACTACATAAATGGCTCCAAAGTGGAAAAGATGTTTTGAACATGGAGAAGCCCAACCAGGCTGTAGAAGCTGCTATGAAGTGTAGCGGCAATGTGAGTGGCAAAAACCTAGAGAATTCACAGAACGGTCTCAAGGAACAGACGTCTTGCATGAAGAGGTGATTCAGTTGGGTTTTTAGTGACATTCTGATGCAAAAACGCAGTGGAGTGCAAGGTCTGCATGACAGACTGGATCTGGAACACAAGTAGTCAACTCAGCATAAACAAGTGCTAATGTTGGAGCTGAGGTCTTCATCACTGATGACCCAGAGGAGTTGTACTTTCACAATAATTAATCATGGCGGAAACTGGTTTTATTTTAATTCTTGTTGAAGTTTGCTGTTTTTGCATCTTGTTTGTTGAGCGGTTTATAAAAAAAATGCTTCTGAAAAAAGTAAATCTGCAAAAAAGTTCAGACAGAACCCTTTTACTGTGTTTTACGACAGCTCTGCATCAGTGAAGTCCAACTGTTATTAGAAAGTGTCTACATGGATGTTAAACAAGAAAAGCAGAGAAACTAACACTTATGAAAGTATTTTTCTTCACAGGAAAAGTGAATGCCATTTAGCTTTTTTTCATAGGAAATTCTATAAAAGTCCAAAAGAGGAGTTTCAAATAAATATTTACTCTCAAGCAAAACTGAAAGTGTTTGCTTTTCTTCCATTAAAGTTACTGTTAAATACTAAAAAAAATACTTCTTTGAATTCCAAAGACGTAGCTCTTCATTTTTAATGACCTTCATTCTTCCTGGTGTATTTCCACAGTATTTCAAAATGTTTTGTACTGAAGCATCCTGATCCTGGTAAAAATATATACTTTTGTTACTCGAAACTGCCGTTAAAAAAACAAAAAAAAACAGTCCTTCTGTGCCTGTTTTTGAAACCTCTGGGAGGTGATTCTGCTTCAGCCGAAGGTTTCTGTTACTCACCATGTTTTTTTCCCACTTAAATTAAAAAAGAAATAAATATAAAACTCCAAGTGAAGTCTCTGAAATTAGTCTTTATAAGCAGAGGACACTGCTGGCTTGTTTCTTTCTCCGTTCACCAGCTGTCAGCGTTATTAGATCGTCCCTTCAAAGTAAGCCGTCATGCTCAAAGCTAGACGGCAGCAGAGAAAAAGAAAACGGGCAAAACTTCACTCCTGTCCCACTGTAGAATTTATTTTGAAACTCCACCCTGGGAAGAAAGCAAACAGCTGTTAGAAGCATACTAACACAGAGAAAAATCAAAGACTAGTGACACAGAGTCACTAAGAACTTACCAGTGCAGCCGAAGGGCATGAAGGAAAGCAGAAAGTCCCTCCATAACCAGGAGGATGGACACAGTGAGAACGGCAAAAAGGCCAAACACTGGAATAAGAAATAAAACCCCAAGTCTGGTGTCCATTCGTAGCCCCACTCTCATCACCATGGCCCACAGCACCTCTGACAACTCTGTGAAATCATAAAAAAGTGGGGGAAAGAAAGTGTATCTTAATTTAGGAAAAAAAACTATACAGTAGTCCCTCGATACTTCGTCGTAGTTCGACTTTCGTGGACTCACTCTTTCGCGGGTTTCCAACGCAAGATTGGACACAACACACGATTGGCTGATTGATGGAAGGCGACCAGTCACAGCATTGTGCTGAGGGACTGGCCATCGGGAGCATCGGGACATTTCCTGGTGGCCTGGCCTGCTCAGTGATCGCCAACAGCCTCAGAAAGAGACAGGAGGGGGCTGGGGGTCTGACTTATACCTGAGTGAGCTACACAAGCAGCATGGATTGTTTATTTTAAATAATCAAGCGTGACCAGAACCAAGCCTTTAGTCCCCATCGGCAATCACTGAGCAGGCCAGGTCACCAGGAAATGTCCCGATGGCCAGTCCACCCCATTGGTAAACGTTGCATTAGTCTGTCTGCTCTCTTTCACTGTGCTCTTTTAGAGCGTTTAGAAAGTTTAGAACATTGTAAAAACATTGCAAGAGTGTGAGAAGGGTTTATAAAGCCTTAAAATATATATATATATATATATATATATATATATATATATATATATATAAATACTAAAATAAATATAACGCCCCTACTTTGTGGATTTTCACTTATCGCGGGGGTGTCTGGAACGTAACCCCTGAGATAAGTGAGGGACTACTGTACAGACTGTAATGGTACAAAAATATAAATCCCACAGTTCTCACAACACTTAACGTCTGGCATTTACAAAACCACAAGAAAGAGGGAAAAATGCATAGTTTGCACTTTGAGTTTGAATATTTCTATTTGTAAAACTTACTTGGCATTTATTTTGAAATTTAACAAGAATAAAAATAATAAACAAGTTGGTGTTTATCATACTCACGGGCATGTGCCAGGCTTAGAGCCCAGAGCCGCAGGTAGGACGCCGTGTTTGAGACGCAGCCCAGGCAGTACTCTATAGTGTGAATGGCTTGATGAAGAAACTCATCTGCAAAGTTAAACTATAACAACAAGAAGAGTCATCAGAAACAAAAGAACAACAAATGACAATGATTGGTGATAAAGCTAAAAAAAAAGGCAAAGGTTTAGTTTCTTTGCTGGTCTGACCTTCTCTGCGAGGTGTTCTCCACTACTGGAGAAATCACTGTGACTGCTGCCTTCCTCTTCATCATGAGTCCTCAGCAGGCAGAGCTCCTCATCACTGCTTCGCCGCACGCGCTCATACCCCTGAGAATACATGCACAGATTTAGTCTCTTTACATATTTCAATTAAGGGTGCATTCACACCAGCCCTGTTTAGTCCGCTTTAATCGAACTCTAGCATGTTTTCCTAGAAAGTCTGGTTCGTTTAGGGAGGTGTGAACGCGCCACCGAACTCTGTCACGGAACAAAAATGCGAACTCTGGCCTGGGCTAAAACCTAGGTCTCGGTCCGATAGAAGCGAACTCCAGCGCGGTTCGAGTACAGTGTGAATGTAAACAGACCGAGCCCCGCTCCACAGGACAAACAAACACGCATTTCTCTGACCTTATATGGAGCCGTCAGCTGCCTTGTGTAGAAAAACAATATTCTCCATGGTCTTCTGTCTCATCTTCTGCTCATGCTAAGTCCATTTTTGAAAAATGACAAAATATAACTCCTAAAACTTCCTAAACTTGATGCCACTTCGTTTTTATTTTTATTTACAGAAGAAGAAGAAGTGTCTTCAGAGGTTTTTGTGTTGTTTCTTTCAGTAGTTCTTGGTGCAGCGCCCCCACAGGCGAGCGGAGGAATAGGTTGGTTCAACAGGTTGACTCGACTGCACAGTGCAGTGTGAATGCAAATGCACCAGCTCAAATGTAAACAAAAGCTCATGAATATTGGTCCTGAACCGAAACGAGTCTACCTGACTATCAGGTGTGAAAACAACCTAAAGGTGGTGGCCAACTATCTGTGGTTTGATGAGCTAGACTGGGCAGCTAATATAGGTATTTATTCATTTTCAAAGCATGTTACAGGGTTAGGAGGCAAACCAAGTGATGATGTGGCTACATCCACATTTCACATTTAATCTGTATAAAAATTAACTTTTCCTTTTTCTAATTTGTAAGCTGTAATTTTTTTTCCTAATTTTAGAAGTTTATTGCTAAAAACTGAAAACACATGCTGTATTTTTCCTTCATACCATTATTGATCCAGCTATCCAGACTTGATAAGTACAAAAAAACAAATTCCATGCTTTTCTACACTTTGGACATGTAAGAGCTCTGCAGTACTGTTTTTATTTATCATTTATTTTACATTTGATAAACTAGCTGTACTGCCATTTTATACACGCAAATATCGTGAACTAACAAGACTAAAATGTGTCTAAACTTCAATGACTATTATTATATAAGAAAACATTAGGAGACAGTTATCCTTGAATACAGAAATTAAAGATCTGACATGTTTAAAATCCTCACCCTGTACATTCCCAGGTGGTGGCGATCTCTGTTCTGGAGCCAGTAAAGGTAAAGCGGTTTCCCCAGGAGTAAAACGGGCACTGAAAGAACAGCAATGACCACCAGAAATACCTGTAGGCCAGTCTGCAAGAAGAAAAACAACAACAAGTGTTGTGCAATTTATTGTGTTTACTACAGTTCAGCTAAAAGCAAATGAAACTGATCTGTTCAGAGAAACAGTAAGGGCTTCCCACCTGTCCTGGGTAGAGGGGCTGCATCTCATCACCTTGCATGAGGAACATGTTTATGAAGTGAATGAGAATGCTGGGGACATGTCTGGAGTCCTTTGCAGAGAAGGCCAGCCACTTGTAGAATATCATGAACACCAAGTAGCCAAATAGACACAACAGGAACAGGAGTTCAGGCACAAATACCAAATAGAGATTGTACCTCTTCCGAAAGTATCTATTTTAAAACGACAGAAAGAAGGCAAAACAAGTAAAACATTTTTTTTTTTTAACTTTTAGGCTGTTTCAAAAATTCAGGTAAGACTAAAAATAATACTTACATGTTCAAAAATGTTCAATACAAAAACAACCGGACTTTATTTGTAACAGAAGACGTTTCGCTCCTCATCCGAGGAGCTTTCTCAATTCAAAGATCAGAGAGTGAGGGGTTCAGGTTATCAGGCTGAGATAAAATACACATATGTAGATTGACTAATTACACCTCACACCTTAGCAGTAGGGGTTTCTTAAGGTCTTTGTTAAACTAATTCACAGATGAGGCTGATGAGGCATGAGGCAGATGAAGATGAATTAGTTTAACAAAGACCTTAAGAAACCCCTACTGCTAAGGTGTGAGGTGTAATTAGTCAATCTACATATGTGTATTTTATCTCAGCCTGATAACCTGAACCCCTCACTCTCTGCTCTTTGAATTGAGAAAGCTCCTCGGATGAGGAGCGAAACGTCTTCTGTTACAAATAAAGTCCAGTTGTTTTTGTATTGAACGTTTTTAAATGTATTATGTCCTGGATGACTGAGAATCTTCACCACCATAATACTTACATGTGATTAAAAGTGCTAAGAATTACTCCAAAGCTCATATGTATGATGCCCAGTATCACAGACATCTTCATCTTGTAGGAGTTAAGGAAGGTAAGGCGGTTGGATGCCAAGTTCCATATCTTTAAAACAGAAGGAGGGAAAAATATTACTTAAATACCAAAATGTTATCTTAGCCCCCACCCCCACCCCCCAATAACCAGCTGTATTTACTCAATTTGCTACTTAAGGAACAGTAATTTATTTATTTTCTAACAAACAACTAAACTTTTTTTGCATGCAGATGAAGTAATCAATGATCTACTACTGCTGACATAAAACAACAAAATACAAAATGCCCTTTAAAGTGCATGATGAAGTTATTTACATTAACATAATGATGATAAACTGAAAAGTGAAAACATACATTATACGTGATGACTAGTCTCAAAACTTTACTCACTGGATCGATTCCTAGAGGGTACGGTCCATGAAAAACTCCCGTGACGTTTGGATCCAGAGTGAGAAATTTATTATTGAGAACATCATTGTTCCTTTAATAATAATAAATAAACAACAAGAGTCTGTTACAAGTTTCTGAATACAACAACAAAAATTAACAAGCAAATTTACAAATATCTTACAGTGTTGACATTTTTAATCAAAGATTGAGTACTTATTAGATACTCACGTCCACACTTTTGCATCATACATGGCCTTCACACTCCACCCAGAACCAAAAATATTAAGAGACTTTGAGAAACAGTCGTTGTAAATTAGACCAGTGTAGATGGAGAACAGGCCCATCAACAGAATAATGTAACGCCCCTCGAAGAACGTGTTCCAAATCTGCACACACACACACATCAAATACACGGTTCAATTTCATGCCAACAACATGACACTAGTCAGTAGTTAACGCAGAAAGAGCTTTAATACTCACCTCATTCCTGGTGTTTTTAAGTTTGCGATTGTTCTCATACAGCACCATCCAGGAGGCAAACAGAGCCATAAGAACTCCATGACCCAGGTCCCCAAACATCACAGCAAACAGGAATGGAAAAGTTATGATTGTAAAAGGAGCTAAAAAAAAGAGAGGAAATAAATTCAAACTTATTCTGTTGTTCGGTCTAAAATAAAAACCTGGCATGATGCAAAGTTTTCACATAAAAGACAACAGCAACAAATCGTGTTACTAATGGAAGGAGACTGTCGTGGAACACATTAAGCTGCTGGTTTGATGTTATCGTTGCTTTTTAATCCCAAAACTTAAAACATGCTGGCCTCTATTATAGTTTGATCCATCACATTTTGCTTTTAGAGTTTTATTTAGTGATGCAAGCATGGCTGGAACAAATAAAGAACAAAAAGGTCTTGAAATAAACTCACCAGGGTTTACTTCCCTGTAAGAGCACACTCCATAAGCATCCACAATGTTCTGGAAGCCAGAGGAAAATTTGTTGGTCCTTATAAGAGTGGGGGGCGTGTCGGTGGTGGGAATACGGTTGACAAAAGAGGGAACTGTCGCACCACTTGTTCGCTGAAATACGAGTGAAAACTTTAGATTACTATCTCATAAAAATTACTTTATCAAAAACAAACACACAATAAATAAATAAAACACTGCCCTTTCTGGTTTAGTCACCTTAAAATCATACCGTCCTTAGGAATATAGTTACGGCCCAAAAAAAAAAAAAAAAAAAAAAAAAAAAAAAAAAAAAACAGGCTTATAGAACTATTATTCTGATTTATTTTGGTTTTTGTACAACAAAAATGACTGTCGTGAACAGTCTAAAAATGAGAATATGAGCAGTAAAAGGCTTCCTCACCGATCCGTCTTCCAGGGCTCTCCGCAGCTTGGGAATGTCATCGACAGGACACCACACCTCAGCAATCAGGCACTTGTTGGTCACATCAAAACTGCACAGGTTCAGAATGTAGTATATGGCCTTCATTTTCTTGACTTGGACAACCCAGGTGTAGACCGACTCTGAAGCCCTGATCAGGACCTGTTTGAGGTAATCCTCTGTCCTATGAAGCACCTGGACGCAGTAACGGGTACACAGAATGTTCTGTGATTATAAATCCAACATTACAGAAAACGTGTTTATCTAATCTAATTGAGAGGATTTGTAGTTTATTGTGAAGTAGAGTCTGCATGGAGTGAAAGAAAATATCTTGGTAACATTCAGCTGAGGTCTCCTGCTGATCACGTGCTACAGGAGCCAAAACCAACTCTGTTTCAGCCACAGCAGGTCAAAAACAACACCACATACAACAATCCTCAGTGAGAAACTTCTCTAAATCACCACATGAACAACTGGGTTCACCGGTTAGACGTTTTAAACAAACACACCTAATGCTCTACATGTACTTATTAATCCATCTTAAAGTATATATTTGAAATGAGCTAGCTTTTGAACGGAGATTAAAAAAGTGCATATTTAGATGCTTTAAAAGTATAAAAAAACCTACTGTGTGCAGATCCTGAATGCGAGTTCTTAGTCCTTCCACAACATCATTCCTCTCGTCGTTGCTGCTGGGGTATGGATACAAGTGGCAGTGGTAGCTACAGAGGAAAACAGTATCATTTTGAAAAGTACAATTTACAATTTAGTTCTGCTATAACATTTTAAATCAAACCTATAGAACCAGATGTCATTTATGATGTTTAATATTTACCAGTCACAGATTTTCTTTACTTTCTGGCCAATTTGGTCTCCCCAGTAAGATATCAGGAAGACCACACATTTGGTAGGCTCACCCTGCAAATGAGAAACAAGTTTAGGAATCATACAAACCGGATTCCAAAAAAGTTGGGACACTAAACAAGTTGTGAATAAAAACTGAATGCAATGATGTGGAGGTGCCAACATCTAATATTTTATTCAGAATAGAACTCAAATCACAGATCAACAGTTTAAACTGAGAGAATGTATCATTTTAAGGGAAAAATCTGTTGTTTCCAAATTTCATGGCGTCAACAAATCCCAAAAAAGTTGGGACAAGTCCATTTTTACCACTGTGTAGCATCCCCCCTTCTTCTTACAACACTCAACAGACGTCTGGGGACAGAGGAGACCAGTTTCTCAAGTTTAGAAATAGGAATGCTCTCCCATTCATGTCTAATACAGGCCTCGAACTGTTCAATCGTCTTGGGCCTTCTTTGTCGCACCTTCCTCTTTATGATGTGCCAAATGTTCTCTATAGGTGAAAGATCTGGACTGCAGGCTGGCCATTTCAGTACCCGGATCCTTCTCCTACGTAGCCATGATGTTGTGATTGCTGCAGAATGTGGTCTGGCATTATCGTGTTGAAAAATGCAGGGTCTTCCCTGAAAGAGATGACGTCTAGATGGGAGCATATGTTGTTCTAGAACCTGAACATAGTTCTCTGCATTAATGGTGCCTTTCCAGACATGCAAGCTGCCCATGCCACAAGCGCTCATGCAACCCCATACCATCAGTGATGCAGGCTTCTGAACGGAGCGTTGATAACAACTTGGACTATCCTTGTCCTCTCTGGTCCGGATGACATGGTGTCCCAGTGTTCCATAAAGAACTTCAAATCATGACTCATCTGACCACAGAACAGTCTTCCATTTTGCCACACTCCATTTTAAATGACCCCTGGCCCAGTGCAAACATCTGAGCTTGTGGAGCTTGCTTAGAAATGGCTTCCTCTTTGCACTGTAGAGTTTCAGCTGGCAACGGCGGATGGCACGGTGGATTGTGTTCACTGACAATGCTGTCTGGAAGTATTCCCGAGCCCATTCTGTTATTTTCTTGACAGTGGCATTCCTGTTTGAGGTGCAGTGACGTTTAAGGGCCCGGAGATCACGAGCATCCAGTAGAGTTTTACGGCCTTGACCCTTACGCACAACGATTCTTCCAGATTCTCTGAATCTTTTGATAATGTTATGCATGGTTGATGGTGATAACTTAAAAGTCTTTGCTATTTTACGCTGGGTAACACCATTCTGGTATTGCTGCACTATCTTTTTGCGCAACAATGGTGGAATTGGTGATCCTCTTACCATCTTGGCTTCTGAGAGACACTGACACTCTGAGAAGCTCTTTTTATACCCAATCATGTTGTCAATTGACCTAATTAGTGTTAATTGGTCTTCCAGCTGTTCGTTATGTGCTCAATTTCCTTTTTCCAGCCACTTATTGCTACTTGTCCCAACTTTTTTGGGATTTGTTGACACTGTGAAATTTTGAATCAACATATTTTTCCTTTAAAATGTTACATTTACTCAGATTAAACTTTTGATCTGTCATCTATATTATATTACGAATAAAATATTGACATTTGCCATCTCCACATCATTGCATTCAGTTTTTATTCACAATTTGTTTAGTGTCCCAACTTTTTTGGAATCCGGTTTGTATTTAAAAGACTTATTGCTCTTGATAAAAGCAAGCTCTTGAGAAATAAACTGCAAGTTGTACATTTTTCCCCATGGGGAAATGAACCGCCTTTCATTGTGCACTATTCATCAGTAGATATTGAATCCGATTGTTAAATAGTGATTTCGTCTCAATAGAAAAGATTAGCAAGCTCTTTGTATATGAAGACAACCAGGAGGAAATGTCACTTTTTTGTCATTTTCATTTTAAATAAACATACAGTCATTGTCAAAGAGTTTTTCTTAGCATTTTTTTTTAGAATTATCGTTACATCCGGTTTTTTTTTTCCTGTTATGACTGTTCAAAGAGACTGTTTTGAGAAAAGGACAGTTTATGTGATCCAATAACCTTTGTGTCCTCCTCCATTAAAAACATGTTTGTTAACACTCTTATAAAGTGCTTTTTACGTGTTACGAGATATATCATGAACAAATGAGCCTTCAACACCATTTCTAAAGATTAATGGTTTGACTCTTACGAGCACTACTTCTAGCTTCAGAAAGAAGAAATATACTGAATCTGCACAAAGCAATGACAGAACCAATTCTTCATTATTTACACAGAATCGTTTAGATAACAGTTCTATTTGTTGTAAGCTGAAAAAAGAAGTTAATAGAAGCTAAGAGAAGTTAGTCTGTGCTTCATTTTACAGCAGTTGATTTCTCTTTCTCCTGCTTGTTTAAAAATTTCCTGTAATTCATTTTGCTTTTGCCGTTTTGACTGTCCAAGTTTAACATTCACTTGGCATTGCAGAGGAAATATGACATGACTAAAAATAAACTAACACATACAAATTGTCTTAGTAAGCTGTAACTTACCGTTTCAGGATTTTCTAGATACTCTTCGACTTCAGCATAGCTGAGGATGGTGTAACCTTTGCAAACTCGCCAAAGCATTCGCTCAAAGGCCTCAATTTTAGCTCTTTGAATCAGACCAGAAAGGAAACTGGAAAAAAAAAGTTACCAGGTTACCATGTAATATGTATGTCAAATTGGGCCCTGCAACGTTTAGCTTTTAAAACACAAAAAGTTATAAAAAGTTCACAAATGTTAAGAAAAAAAAATTGCAGTGTGTTAATCAGATTTTTATTTATTTGTTTTTTAAAAGAGAAATTCTGCAGTTGGAATACTTTGTGAACGATGAGTAAATTATTATTACTGCACAAGGTCAAATTATTAACCCCACTACATTTTTCACCGATATTTAAACTGTGAAACTGAAAACATGAACAGTTTGCATGTTCTCTCCGTGCATGCGTGGGTTTTCTCCGGGTGCTCCGGTTTCCTCCCACTGACCAAAAACATGCATGTTAGGCTGATTGGTAACTCTGAATTGTCCCTAGGTGTGAGTGAGAGAGTGAATGGTTGTTTGTCTCATTTGTCTCTATGTGTCCCTGTGATGGACTGGAGACCTGTCCAGGGTGTCCCACCGCCTCTCGCACAGTGACTACTGGATATGGGCACCAGTGACCCCCGCTTCATAAAAAGGAAGAAGCGGGTGAAGATAATGGATGGATGAAGCTTTATAATAATTGTCAGTATTCAACCATCACAGAAATATCAAGCCAGACTGAACAAACTTAGAAAACTGTCTTTTGTGGTTGTGACACTTTTTGTTGCAGTGTTGAGGCAGAAAAAAAAAAGATTTATGTAAAATGTAGAGCCCATCATTTTTCAAACACTTTGCATTATTTTATTTTTATTTCAACTTTTATTTTACCAGGAAGAACTCCATTGGGATTATTAATCTCTTTCACAAGGATGTCCTGGGCAATATCTTTGGATCCATTATCCATTAGTTTTTATTCCCTCAGTAAACTACTGATATATTAGCAAAGGGAAGATATTTTCCAAAAAGAAAAAAAAAGTTTATAAATATTTAAAAAATAAAACAAATATTAAATCTAACAAAACCAGATTTTTCAAATTTACACTCATTGCATGCCCATCTTAAGAAATATCCAGAACATTGTGAACATTTTCTGTTCTACAGTTCACTGAGACAAGTGTAGATTAATTTTAACTACCATACTTGTCTTGACACAACATTTGCTGTTTATTTTGTGCTGTTTTTTATGGTAATTTGTAAATGAATATAATTTTAAAATGTCAATTTCATTCCATTTCATGCTGCTGTGTTCATTCGTACTCATTTGCTCAGACTCATGTTCGTGCCGCTGTTGTTTGGCGTAGTGTTTTTGTACTGCTAGTGCTTAGCGTATTCTTAGTTTAGCGTATTTCTTAGTTCATATCTTAGATCTTATAACTGTTTTTTTTTCTTTTTACAATTTATACTTTTTTGTATGTAACTGGGACCCTGTGTACACAATTTCATTCCACCACATGTACCACATGTGGTGCGTATGACATATTACAAAAATCTTGGACTTTGACTTCATAAAATATTCCAGTCTGCAGAAATTGACAGACTGAAAACATTCTGAAGCCGCTCTCAGTTGCGTTATATAAAACAGCTCTTACCCCAGTTTGGCTCCGAGCCTCTGCATGCTGCTGTAGTCCATCCTTGTGTCTTTTTCAAGAAAAGGAAACTCCTCATACTGCACTTGCTGTGGCTCTCTCTGATAATAAAGAAAGATGGAGGGTGATTAAGAAAAGAAAACAAACTCTTGTTTCTATAGGGCTAAAAATAAGGAAAATAACGAGTTAAGCTGAATTCAACACCTCAGCAGTTCTCTGTACAAAGCTGCGGGTGATGCGAAGCATGTGTGTGTACTCTGTCAGCTCCAGAAGATTCTTCTGTAGCTTTTCTTTGTTTCTGGTGACTTCACCTAACTCAACCTCAAGTCTCTGCAGCTGTTCCTATGAAAAAAAAAAAAAACCATTTATGCATATGTGTCAAATACAATGCACCAATAATAACAATAATAATAGTAGTAGTAGTAATATTCAGCAATGACTTACCATTATAGTCATGACATGCTTGGGTGAAGGAGCCACGGGACTCATATCTCTTTCTGGCAAAGGAATATCTGCTTTCTTGATTTCTCTAAGAAGGTATCCTATAAAAAGCAAACAAAACTTGTCTAGGACACAAAACCAGTTTGAGAATATTTACAGCTTTCACAAACCATGACTGTACCTTTGAACAACACTTGCATGAAACCCAAGACTGATAGTGAGTGCATTTTCCCTCTAATCTAATATCCCAGGGTTTTAAAAAAAACAAAGAGCAGTTCATTCAACCAAATTTATAACCACCTGACAATTCTCATGACTGTAGGTTTTCCAAACACCTAATTATTCTATGAGAACATCCACTGTGGACTTAGGTATTTCTGATTTTGTTTCCAGTTACTTTGTTGCTTTTTAGAAATGGTTTAAAAGGACCCAAAAGCCTCAAACAATAATAAACTTGGAGACCAGACAAGAGCTTAAATTGTGAAAATAGCAAATGAAAGTCTTGTTTCCTGATGCATGCTCAATAAAGTAATAATAAATAATAAAGTCTTGTTTATAATTACCAAGGATCCTCTCCATCTCTTCACATTTTTTGATCTCACTGATGTATTTTCGCTGGAAGGCGTTCACGTTGGGATTGAGCTGAAATAGAAGTAGCAGTATTCATGAGTAAAGCACAGAATTATCAACAATCCACTTAAAAACACACTGATTATTGAATTTTACCTCAGTGAACTAAACCACACAGTTCCATTACTATCGTGTTATTACTCATGACTTTAGCAATTTGTAATTTTTATGAAAAAGTTCAATTTTTCAATTCAATTCAGTTTATTTATGTAGTGCCAAGTCACAACAGATGTTATCTCAGGACACTGCACAAAAACATTCATACATAAAAAAAAAAATCAATTATTGTAGTAATGTTATTTATCTAAGGAAGCCTTCTGCTGAAATTTTCCTTGTCCTGTTTATGTCCGACACTTATTATGGACAGCCTAGTGGTTTGCACTGTTGCTTCACAGCAAGAAGCTTCTGGGTTCTATCCAGTTTGGACCTGGAGTCTTTCTGTGTGGAGTTTGCTTGTTCTCGTGTTTTTTTCTGGGTACTCCGGTTTTCTCCCACAGTTCAAACACAAGCATATTAGGTTGCCTTCAGGCCCAGGCTTCCCTCGCAAAAGAGATATGTGATATCAACAGTATTTACCTGGTTAAATATTGGTTAATAAAATATCTACTTATCTTTAAAGTTATTTACGTTGTATTACAGTTGTTATGGGGCACATCTGTTGAACATGTACACCGAAAAATGAATTCTTATATGCAAGTTATATTAAAAAAACAACAACGCAGTCCTGATAGTGTGGATCATAGACTGTAAAAATAAATAAATAACTAAATAAACAGTCTGTATGGTGTGGACACTTAAAAGGTTGTAGGTAAACTTTTCCACTTCTCATTTACTTTCTATCTCAAACTCCAGAATAATCTGAAAGAGCCATGGCTGTGTTTACAATGACACAAGTGACTGAACGACTTACGTCTCTGAACTCCACCAGCCCCAGTTCTCCCAGTTCACTGATGCAGTCGTATGCGGACCCAGACTGCAGAAACAGCTGGGCCAGGCACATCTCTTCACCTCGAAAAAGAGAGCCCATCCTGGCGGGCTCGGATGTCTCTCGTTCCAATGTGAGCAAACTAGCAGGGGACGTTTCTGTGAAGTACAAGTCGTCAGTCACGTTCTTCCTTGACTTTCCGTGACTCTGCTCGGGTGATAAAACAATGTCTAACTTGCATAATGCTGAATTTACATACCTTGCTTCCGTCGCAACAGTAGAGGCTGTTCCTGTTAGCGAGCTAATTGGTTAGCCAGGTAAACCGTCTTCCGGTTTCTTGGATTACAATTCGTTTCTCCAAGTTTAATATAAAAACGTATGCTCACGTTCTACGTCTTAGAGTGTTACGACAGGTCTTCTCGCATTTTTGTCAAGTTTTAGACGTGGGCTTTCCATCTCCTTTACTCTCCACGTCACTTTTACACCGACTGCGATCAACTTCCACAAGAATCTTTGAACCAATGACAGCCTCCTTCTGGAGTCTGCGCAGTGCGGCGTGAACGGAAGTCGGTCGGTTTTAAACCCTCGGCGCTGTTTGAAGGTGAAAGTATAACGCAAGCCAAAGCGACACAAATCACCACTTTTACTGCATGTCTGGTTAAAGTGTCACATAAATAATGCAGTTGCATAAGTCAGGACGCTGTAAAATAAGAAAAAAAAATCCCGCCAGATCTCCGTTTGTTATGCTGTTTTAATATTACATTTTGAATTTCAGAAATAACGACGGTTTTTCTGGTTATTGAACGCCGCTTTTACGTCATTCGTCGTCCACTGAATAGGAAAACGCAGGTTTTTCGCCGCTTCATGAACTGTGAGGGTATGTCAGAGCTTTAGTGGGTTGTTTTTTTTTCTTAGCGTGTTCCTAAAGCTCCGTCTTATATTTAAATGACTTCCACTGTTAATAATAGCCTTCAAATATAATGTCAGCAATCCATCCATCCAGTATCTTTTTAAATCAGGGGTGTCCGTAGTACTTTTCTGTACCTATAGAGGGCGCTCACACGTCAGTCACTCTACAGAAAACTGACCCATAATTATTATTTTTTTAATGTTATCCATATTAACCATCTATTTAATCTATTTGGTGATTTTAAAGGAAATTTAATGAAATATGCTGTGATCTACTTTTTATCTGAAAAAATGTCTATGCATAAATGACTGAATAAGAAGCCTATTAGAAAAAAATAAATTAAAATTCATCGTCACTTTTACTGCCTGCTTTTTTTTTTCTTTTTCTCCTTCATAGTAAATATCAGCGATATACAGAGGAACTATATAATCCCATCTTTACTGTCAGTGGGCAATTATCAACATGATTACTCATGCAACAAAACAATCTAATCTAATTTAATTCATCCATCTCATTCACAAATTATTGGAAAGCTTATAGAAATTTTGTATCTAATTTTGTTTTGCACACAACTCAGAAATGTTTCTAATAAATTGGTCACTACAAGATCCTGGTGTTTTATAAACACAATGAATTATTATATTTTCCTAAATGTTGTTCAATTGTGACACATTACATTAAAATCATTAACAGCATCATGTTATCAACAATTTTCAGTCAAGACACAAAATGTCCACACCTCCACATGTCGCTGTCTCAAAATCCTCGTGGACTTCTTTATCATCACTCATATATTCCTCTAAAAGTGCAAACACAGAAACTTATTTTTTGACATAGTTCAAAATATTATTTATTATGGTAAAAGGTACTTTAGGAACTCTTTCACTGAAAGTGATTACAAGTCTTTAATTTTAATATGAATATTTTCTTCTGCATAATATACACGTTATATTATCTTTTTGGTAAAAATGGGTCTCTGGATTAAAATCATTATCAGACTCCTAAGGTTTGTATTAATGAAAATCAAAAGAACTTAAATCTGCATATTCAACCATTCTCTTGACATATTTTCATCTTTCACAAATTCATTCCTTGATTTTACTTGGACATTACAACACAACTTTTTTTCACTTAGCCTCCAGATTATCTCTGATTATTCTTGTAAAGATGTATAGGTTGCTGTATGAATGGGTAAATGAGGGCACAGATTGTAATGTAAAGTGCTTTGAATATATTCATAAGATAGAAAGTTGCTATATACAGTAAGTACAGTCCACTTTGACAAAAATTACTATTTCATTCAGATATTAATCTGTACCATTTGCTTTTTCATTGGTTTCAGAAATTGAAGGCATCACTGATATTTTTCTAGTTTTGACAACTTTTTCATGATCAATGAACATTTGCCTTTTCAGGAGTCCCATTCAGTTTAATGTACACTTTATAATCTGAAGTTGTCGACTTTGACCACCAAGTGGTTTTAAACAACTGCTAAATTCATGGCAAAAACCAATGCAGACATGTTCTTGTTGTTAGTACTTTACGTCACTTTATAATGTAGTTGTTTTTATATAATTTATCCTATTTACTTTTCATTTTATTTGCTTTTTACATGATTGTCTATTGTTGTCATCTGTGTTGTTTAAAACAGGTTTCTCTTGTAAATGAGTCCTCGAGACTCAATGAGACTAACCTGTATAAATAACGGTTGAATGAATGAATGCCACGTGGAATAAGCAGGTCTGCTTTATAATATCTGCATTTTGGTTTATTAGATACTCATTGACATATGTGGCAGAGCTGAAGATGCCTGAGGTTCTCCTTAGGAGTGACAAGGATGGATCAAATTGGGAATGAGACACACTGGGGGGGGGGTTCTGGGGCTCCTCCCCCAGAAAATTTTGATTAAACTAAATGCATTCTGACATATTTTAACAGGATGTTAAACATCTTCGTTTATCTACATATGTAAACACTTGATTGAATAACTATTTTAAAGGCTTATTCCTCATTCAGCTGTATGCATCATCCTGTTTTTAAACTCACTTCTATGGCTAAGTTAATGAAATTAATGTGGCACAATTTGTCACAATGACTTTATAAGTGCAATTCACTTTTATATTATTTTTGATTTAGTTCTATTTGTAACACAACATGCCATTGTACTAAACAAAAGTGACACTGAACTGCATGTTTAAAAATAAGAATATTAACTTGACCCAATGAACAGGTGACATTTTGATAACAGTGAATTTATAGGGTGAATTTGACCGTTTTCTGATTTATTGATGGACCTGCTCAGAACAAAAAATGACCTGGCATCATGCAGCCTTCACTACACTAAATTTCACTGTGCCAAGCAATAATGAAACAAATAAAATTTTTTTGTCAGTTTTGTCTACCTGCATGTATTAAAACTAAATAATTTACAGGTTGCTTCCTACCTTGGTGCCACAATTTCTACCACACTTTATAACTTTTATTCTCCTTCACAGTCCACTTGGAATAACATCCATCTCCCTTCCCCTATTGTTTCCTTCCCCATACACTTATTTACTTTCCAGAAAACTCATGTTCCTTGAGTTCTTTCTTATTAACACCATACGTCTCCTTCAAGTTACTCTCTATAACACCAACAGCTGGACTTTTCAAATCTTAGAGCAAAGACAAAACAAGTTTCTTCCTGCTCATATTAGACAGCTTCCAAAAATGTGTCACCTTCAGTCATTTACAAACTCAAAAGACTGGTGAATCAACCTCATGTCCATCTGATCAAGTCTCTTGGTGTAATGTGGCCACAGCACAAGAAGCCCACTTATCATTTAAAAACAATGTTGAGATCAAAACAATTTTCACAAAAATTAATGGAAAAATATTTTTATTACAAACTGGAGCAACATTACAACAACTTTAATTTACAAAATCACAAACATTTCAAAACTAAAATTGTGAACAACTTTCAATGGTAAAAACAAACAAGTAAATCCTACTGTAGCATCTTTTACTCCCTCTTTATCATTTGCATGTGATCCTTTAGGTCTTTTTCAAAGATTGTGCCATGCTTGTCTGATTTGTCTCCAAGGAGTTCCAAGGATCGAAGCAGTGATAAACATGAAAACCAGGATCATTCCTTTAGCCAGTGATTGAGAATAAGGTTCACCTGTGAGAGAGACAGGGAAATAAGTCATTATGGAACTGTTTTACTCATTATGAGAGCCACAATTTTTGATAGATTAACACATTTAGCCATAATAAATGGTACATAGTCCACACTTTTAAAATGCAAACGCTGATTAGGTACTATAAAGTACTAATATGTTTGTTATTCACACAACAGCTTTGTTCTTTTGCTACATGATGTGTAAAAGAAATGTGTAAACCTCCACATCAACCTTTTAGAATGAGTCAAATCCTCACCTGTGTAATATTTAGTGAATGGAAAGGCAAGCTCAGGCCAACACACATCATTCCTGTTACAGTCATATTCTGTGAAGTTGATCTGAAACCTACAAAGAAAATAGAACTTCTTAATGTTGGCAGCTTAGAAATGTCAAAATATTCATTTGGCCAGGTGACTTTTCTTGAACGTGGTGTTGAATGTTCCAGCACCTGGTTTTGGGTGGTTCTGTGTTGACAAGAATGTCAATGAATGTGACTGTGGAGGTGATAGGGAACAGCTCAGGCTCCTCTAGGTTCTCACATGCATAAACATCACCCCCTCCACAATTCAGAGTCCAAGTAGACAAGCTATAACTGAAAATGCAACATTAACAGGAATTAGGCTTTATAGTAACTTTCATCAACTAACAGCTTTTCAAGCTCTGTAAAAAACAGGGCAATCTGTGTTGTCACAACATCTGACACACACCTTACTTCCAAAGCTCGTATTTCTCTCTGAGGTATGCCATCTATCAGGCCAGTGGTTAGAGTCCAAACTTGGATATGCTGGTGGGATGGAATATCACCGCATGCACTTGAGACGTCTGCCACGACTGTGCTCGAGTTCAGAGTCACATCTGGATTAGATTTGTTGGGAATGACATTAAGTTAGTGCAACTAAAAAATATTTTATCATAAACACTGAAGGGACAGGGAAAAAAAAGATAAACATTTCAAAACAATAACTTGTTTTTTGCACCATCTACTCACAGCTTATGTTGACCCAGTCTGAAATAGTTAAAAGATCTGGGTTTCCATGCTTTGCGACATATGTGGTAGGTGTCAGAGCTTCCTGCAGATTAGTAACTGTTTCTCTAAGAGGAAAAAAAAAAACTTTCTTAGCTCACATATACAATCATACTGTGTCGGGTTTTTTTGTGCATAAACTTAAGATATTATACTGAGCTGCAGACCTCAGGAAATTACACTGAGTCAGATTCTGTGGACTGACAGCTAGCAGGCATCCTGAAGTTGAATTTTCCCCAAAAAGAACCGGTTTCATCTGAGCAGTGGAACATAATCCATCATGAACTGACAAACAAACCAAAAACACAAGACAAATTGTCTTTTAGTATGGATTGATGTATGTAACTGAGTATTAGGCTAAAGTTTAAGCAACAAGTGATAATGATCTCATTTGATGGGTTTTACCTGGTTTCCAAATATTAAACGATGTCTTCTGTATTGATTCTGTGTTGTTGCCCACAATACCAGCAATAACTGGCTTTCCAACTTGATAACCTGTCATTAAAACAAGTGTGAGTTATTACTCTGTAATGGGTTTAAAGAAACGTTAAAAAACTATTCTGCAACTGAATATGTGTCGCCTTCCATCTTTCTCAATTTTAAGATGGAGCTCTACACTTTTTAAACTGTTCGTGAAACTCAGTTATTATGCATCCTAAAATGTTACATACAGTTTAAAAAGCGATTTACCATGTCCTGGATGTCTGAGAATCTACACCAATCTAAAAAAGTTAAATCTGGTCCTCTGGACATTCAAAAAAAAACCAAAACAAAAAAAAATCGTAGAAACGTTTCGTCTTTCTTCCGAAAGACTTCCTCAGTCTGAGGTACTGTATTCAGCTCAGTCTTATTTAGATTTTTCTACCTGGATTATTGAGCATGCATCAGGAAATCTACACCAGTATACTCTGTAATAGCTTTTGTAATAGCTTCTCCTACCTGGATTTCCTGAGTTGGTCTCGGGCATAAATTCTTTGTTTAGAAACATGGCTGAATATCTTGCTGTTAATGCCACTGTTTAAAATACAGAAAAACAAAACCAGTCAACATGGAGCAACTTCATTAACTTTCACTGAAGACACGCCAGTTATAAGCACTCACCACTTCCATTTAAGATGATGGACCCAACAGTTCGTGTCAGTGTGACACCTGTGAGGCCATTTCCTGTCCAGTAGAATTTGTAATCCAGCGCTAAGGTCACATTCAGACACACCAGTCCCTCAGCTTTGGATAAATATGATCATATTTCAACATTAATTTAACTGTTAGTTTCAGTTACTGTAGTAAGAATGTCAAATGTTGCATTATACATACATGAAGAGTTCACTGCACCACTTTCAGAAATTAACAAACTCAAGTCAGAACCCTCTACATCAGTTACATTCACCACCACAACTCCTTGGGGAAAAAAAAACAAGTCACTGGCATTTATAAAGTATCAAAACACATCAACACACTCCTAAGAACGGTTAAGAAGTAAAACCTACCCCCACGTCCATCTATAACTTCAGTGGTCAAATCTGTTGGTTTTGTTTGTAAAGGAAATCCAGTTGGACAGGAGCGGAGAAGAATCACACACTCCACTTGGACATTTTTCAGAAATGCTGCAGGAGAACGGTCCGTACACTGTCCAAGGATCATCTGTTGAGCAAAACCAAACATTAGGTCTTAGTTGCTAAAGTTCAGATAGCACAGTACAAAACACTGCACCTTAAAAAGTAAAATAACGGAACATCAAGCATAAAACTAACCTGAGGAATAGTAAAGTACTGGCCATCTTTTGTGATAATGGGACTTCCTTGAATATAACGATTAACTGGTACTGGGGCTGACAATACAGGACTTTGGAAAGAAGGGCCAGGACTAGATGCACTAAAATGATACAAGAACAAGGATGCATAATGACCACAAGAAATTTAATTACTCAATAAAAGATGTGCTCAAAAACACAGGTGTAATTTTTTTCCCCTCACATTGTGTCTCCTTGGTAAAAGAAACCAAGAAAAGGGTTGTTTTCAGGTGGAGAATTGACACATAAAAATGGAAACCAGTCTGGAGCATTTTCAGAGGATTGCACAGAGCACTGATAATCTGGAGCAGGAGACACCTGTCCGCCAAACGGTCCTGGCAGACAATGGGATGCAAATAGCTTTAAATAATCACTGGAACAGTCCTATTGAAAGCAAAACACAAAAAGTGTGGATTAACATGACATGGCATTTCACTGAATAATCTTACTAAATTAACATAATATCAACAAGAAAAATACCTGATCACAGCAGCAGCGTAGGTCACAAACTCTAAATGTCAGGTCACAGGGACAAACGCCCAGTGGTTGGTACACTTGATTTGGAATGACTGTTTTGTTATCTGAAGGAAAGGATGATTCATATATTAAAACGTGCTTTTCTCAAAGTGCTTATGCAAAATTGTTGGGGGACTTTAATAATTTAATTATCCTATCAAAAATCGTAAGACAAACTATTTGTTTTACCAAGTCCAGCAGTAGCAGTGAACAACTGGGCATGTATGGAGGCCTGAATCAGCAGTGATGCCTGGGGTGTGCTGCCAACACAGGCAGACACCTGAAGAGTTTCCAGGACACACAGAGACCGTAAACAGCAGTCACTGTTCGTATCATTCTCAGCACACAGGCGCAGAGTTTGATTTAATCTCACAGAAACTCGTAATGCAGTCTGAGGGACAAGACAACACAAACACAAGCATCGTTTTTAGAGGGTTATATAGTTTTTAGTGTTTACATCTGATTTAAGCATTATTTCAGCATTACCTGATCAACTCGATTAATGAGATAGATCTCTTACCTTTCCCATCTGTTCTGCTGTGAGCACCCACCGCGTTGCTTCTTCTGCACATGATGGAGAATCAATGCTTCCTACAGAAGATAATAAATCTTAATATATTCCAAATCACAGAGAACACACATACCTCGTCCTTTTTGAGCCAACACAAAGGTGTTTCAGTAGAGGATTTGAAGAGGGACGGGGGAGGTTTTGCCTTTAATCTTTTTTTGTACCTGTTGTGTTGGATAAAGAAACCGTCCTCAGATTCAGAGAAACACCCGAGGTGTTTCCCAGCAGATAGGCGGTGACTGCAGGTCCAGTAGCACTGAGGAAGGACGGCTGGAAGACTAATGAACAAAGATGGTTACCATTTATGCTAGGGTCTGCTCACGTTAGTTATATAAAATGAAGTGGGGGAAAATAGCACAACAAATGATCAGGAGCGCTAGTTAGCTTCAAAGCTAGGTGAAGCTAGGGCTATTTTTTTTAGAAGATACACAAAAATAATCTTACCGACGACGTTTTGAGACAGAGACAATGAAACAAGAAGCAGTATAAATATAGTTTGGCGTGAAAAAGACACAGAAAAGAAATTAGCTCCCACTTGAGCCATTTGTTGACTACCAAGTCAACATATTTGTAAACTATTTGCGACGTCTTAGCAACGCAGAGCTCAACCAATCACCGAAAAGGAAGATTCTTGCTCTGATGACAAAGAGAAACTAAATTAACGCTCCCGGAACGACAGCGCCTCCTGTGGTCATAATGGGTACACCTACATTCATTCTGTAATCAGTGCTTTTTAATAAAATCACGTTGTATGATGATTTATTAATTCTGTTTAGACCATTGAGGGGACAAATCTACAACAAAGGTAACCCATATAACTATATATTCATACATTTGACATTATGTTTGCTGTTTTTCTAAACTAAACTAAACTAGACTTGATGAAATGAGGTTTTAGGACTGCTATGCCACTACTGATCGGAGTGTGTTTAGAGCTGCTGCTTTGAAGGAGGCCTCAACTGCAGATCTAGAGGAGTATGCTGCAGCTGTCACTGGATATATCAGCACCTGCACTTATGATATTGTTCCAACAAGACACTTTAAAACCTACCCTAACAATAAACCATTGATTGTGAAATGCAGCAATACAGCCAGAAACTGGAGGAGTGCTATGACATCACAGACTTCCAACGTATGTGGCAGGGTCTCTGACACATCACATGCTGTACTGATGTCAGAAGACTTTCAAGCCCATATCTGCTACCAGACAATAATAATTAATTTAATGCTCTCTTCAAGGCTCTCAACACCAACCAGCAGGGAGACGTTCTGGTTACAGAGGACACACAGGACCAGCTGACTACTGTATCAACAGCTGAGGTACATTCCATCCTTAAAAAAAAATCCTCTGAAGGCAACTGGTCCAGACAACATTCAGGAGTGAGCACTGAGGACCTGTTCAGAGCAACTGGCAGAGGTGCTTGCAGACATCTACAACCTGCTTCTTCACTGTGCCCACCTGCTTTAAGGCCACTATCATCAGAGGAGCCTGCTAACCCTGCCTGAATTATAACCGTCCTGTGGCACTGACTCACATTGTTATGAAGTGTTTTGAGAGGGTGTCCCACATAAAGAGTTCTGTCCTGACCATCTTACAGTTTGCTTATCAACATAATCAGTCCACTGATGATGCTGTCAATGCTTTTATTCACACAGCCCTTACACACCTGAGGGAAGGACATGTATGTGAGGATGTTTGTTCATTACAGTTCAGCGTTTAATACAGTTCTTCCCCACAGGGTCTGCAAGGAGCTCCTCAACTTGGGTCTGACACCATCCGTCTGCAACTAGGTGCTGGACTTTCCAATAAACATGTCCCCGTCTATCAGAATAATACAATGAACATGAATGATCAAGAGAGTCAACTAGGAATCCCCCAGGGCTGTGAGCTGAGTCCCCCGCCATACTCTCTGTTTACCTATGACTGTGTGGCCTCCCAGAAAGATGTCAGTATCATTAAGTTCACTGATGACTCCACAATTATCAGACTGATTACAGGTGGGGAGGAGGCGCCATACAGACAACAGTTGGCAGAGCTATTTTCCTGGTGTTAAGAGGACATCTTCTCCCTAAACATCACAAAAACCAAGAATATGATCACGGATCCCAGGAGAAGATGGAAGGAGCAATATGTCCCCTCAGCAATGGAGCGATTTGGGTAGAATCTTGGACAATATCTTTCCTTCGAATCCAGTTCAAAATACTCCTGTATGTCTACAAATCGCTTAACACTTTCACGCCCCCCCCATCTCTCTGATTTGCCACAGCCGTATGTCCCACTATGTTCCCTGAGGTCAGCGGACCAGTTGCTCCTCACAGTTCCAGGAACTCGTCTTAAGCGCAGAGGTGACAGGGCCTTCTCTGTAGCAGGACTAAGACTTTGGAACAAGTTACCTCTGCTTGTCAGACAGGCCCCCTCCCTCTCGGTTTTCAAATCCCATTTAAAAACCCACTACTATTCAGTAGCTTTCAACACCAGATGGTCTTGTTTTAAACCTGTACGCTCCACACTGGTTTGTCATCATATTTATTATCTGTGTCGTTTTTATGTCTATATTCTGATTTACCTCATTTTGTATTTTGCTTTGTGTGTTGCCTGTTTTTCTGTCTGTACAGCACTTTGGTTGGCCTTGTCGCTGTTTTAAGTGCTCTATAAATAAAATGGTATGGTATGATATTGTTGCAAAACTTTGCAGAACCTTGATTTTTACATTAACATAAATCAGTTGTTCAAACTAAAAAAAGTATTTATTCAAGCAGACCTTCCAATCCTGTTTATTTAATATGTTGTGTTTAATTGTATTTTTGTCTAGTTTGACGGTGTTTCATTTGTTTTAAATGTGCTTCAGGTAAATCACAGAATTTGACACTGACAGTAGAAAACAATTATAAAGATGCTAACTGTGAATCTTAATTTTCTAAATAATGCATTAAATAAAATAAAAAAAATCATTATCCTAATATAAAAATGTATGGAATAATTGTTAGGGAAGCGCTACAGGCATTAGCCACTAGAGGCAGCACGTTGCTGCTGCGCTCATCAATAGAGCGGGCAAAGAAGAAGAATATTGTCACGTGACCAACAACCAACGTGCTTTTTAGCGATGTGTCAACATTAAACATCTGTCCCGTGGATTTAATGCAACAATGTCGTTTGAAAACCTGTTGACACGTCTGCATGAGTGCCTGAATATTGAAGAAGCCGCTCCTGGAACTATCGGTGAAATCCTCCGGCGTGTTTTAACTAAACTCTCTGAATCTTCCAGGTTAGTTCAAACTCTCCCTTTAGTCTTTCGTTTAGGAAATGAAGCACAACATGTCTGTGTCCCCTGCACGTACAGGAGCAACGTGAAAAGATGCAAGGAGCGCTGTTTAGAGGAGGCTGTCCAGCTGCTGAGGCAAACATCTGCAGCTCATCTTCGTGCTTTGGAGGACGAACACCTCCTGCTTCTTGTCAGACTCCTCTTATCCCTTCAGCTGGAGATGGTCTGCATCTCCACAGCCTGTCGAAAAGTAGACCAGGTCAGCCACATGCATCTCTGTTTTTTTTTTAAATATAATTGGGACACTTTCTAAAGAGCAACAACAAAACCAACTTATTGATTTGATCAACAGATGCTGCAGCATTTGTCAAAATTGGACCACCAGTTGGTTTTTAGAGAAACGCTCCTCAGTTTTCACTCTGTAGTCCTCAGTGATCAGGTACAGAGGTCTTACTTTTCACTTCTTTGTCTTAGGTTTTCATTAAGCCACTCAGAATAATTTAAACTTTGTGCATTTTTATTATTATTTTTCAGGTTCTGTCTTTGAACGATCTGCAAACAGGTTCGGTGGAGGTTAAATGTACATTTTTTTATTACCTCATTGATTTAACGTTCATCAAATTGAGTCCACTCTGTCTGGACTGCTTTTAGCGTGCATGTTCCTGGAAGACAGCGCTGTCGGCCGTGAGGTGTGGCGAGAATCCTACATGTCCATACTGAATAAGTTGTCTCAGTCCCTCCCTGTTGTTTTACAAGAAGAGCCTCTGAGAGATGGACCTCTCTGCTATATGGCTGTGAAGGTGTGGTCAAAGCATTCATCCTTAATAAGAAATCATCATTAACTTTCGTGAACTAACCTAAAATCCATTATACGTCTGCAGGTGTGTTTGCAGATATTTCAGCTGCTGTCCAGTGAAGTTGCTTGTCTTGTTTGGGAACAGAACCATCAGGATTCAGCAGTGCAGAAGATCCTGCAGGCTCTAATGGACATTATTCTTGGACAGGTTTTCGTGTTTCACTACATCTTTGTAGTCAGTCTTAAAAATAGTGTGTGTTGTTACAGCTGTGTCCTGTCTTCCAGTGCTCCAACAGGGACACTCGTCTTTTAGCGGGCACTGCTGTGGCGATGCTGATCAACACAGCATCAGAGAGAAAAGCAGGAGGAGCTGCTGCCTGGAGTGTGCTGCAGGTCTCTCTTGGAGGTATTTATCCACATACATCCTCATAGAAAAAGTCTGATTTATTTAAACTATAAATTGTATGACAGATGCTACAAATGAGTGTGAATATCTTGTATTCTTGCTTCTTCTCAGAGCCCTGGCAGCTCAGTGTTGGTGTCCTGCAGGTCCAGTGTGACCCTGTGGTTCAGGACGGGGTGGGCAGGCTGGCTGTGTGCCGGGGCCTCCTGACCTGCTGCCGACCTCACATCTTACTCAGTTCATGCCGTGACACCCCGCAGGTAAACCTACTGAACCTTTGTAGAAGACATCTTGGACTTGTCTGTGCTTTCATCTCCAGCTCCATCACTTCTTTCTTTAGACTTGTTTACTTCTGGAAGGTCTGTTTCCTCTCGTTTCCTCTCTGTGTGAAGAGAAGCTGGATTGCCACTACTTAGCCTTCGAAGGTGAGCAACGTTTCCCGACTCTTTGTTCACTTGTGTCAGTGATGTTTGTTCATATGTGGCGTGTTGTTGCAGTTTTAACACTGTGGCTGAGGAGAGTTAAAGAATGTGTGCTGGATCTCTGGAAGATGACAGGTGGCCGTCTTTTACCTGACGACAGCAGCCTGCAGCAGCAGCTCGCTCACATAATCTGGACCAACGCGGAAAGCCCAGTGAGTCACTGAATATCATTCCTTCAGTCCACAGAGTCATTTAACAAATTGGCAGATCAAACCTAGGAGCTTCATAATTTTTAAATTTGTACCCACTTGTTGGTTGTTAAATGACTCTGTGGACTGAAGCCAACAAGCGGGTTCAAATTTCAAAACTTATGAAGCTCCTAGGTTTGATCTGCAATTTGTAGGGTTATCTTATTTTAGAGAAAGCCAATTCTTTTAACACAATGTGTACAAACTGAGCTGCTAAATACAAAATAGGATTTCTGTGATTTATTAGATAACTGAATTTGAAAAATTTGAATTTATTTTGAATTTTCTGTCAAATAAAGACACAACTATGACATAGACATAACTACCGTATTTTTCGGCCCATAAGGTGCAATATCAATGAACTGGTGTGTTTTCATACATACGGCGCACCGGATTAAAAGGCACATTAAGCAAAACAAAACAGTCAGATAAGTCAAACTTTATTCAGCTCATTCACAATAAGCCACATAAAATCGGTTCGAGGTCATTAAGCACAACCAGAATTAATACATAAGACGCACCTGATTATAAGGCTCACTGTCGATTTTTAAGAAAATTAAAGGATTTTAAGTGCGCCTTATAGTAGGGATGCACAATATTGGATTTGTGTCCAATATCCGATACCAATATCGATATTTTTTCCTCCTAGACCTATTTTTCATTCAACCTTTATTTATACAGGTTAATCCCACTGAGAAGAGACACCTGAACCTAGACCTACTTACAGAGACCACATAGCTTTCTCTGCTGTGGAATTAAAATACAACATTATTCTACAAGGTCTTTGTCATTTTGGCCTGCTTCCAAATGCAGATGCCTAAAATGGGGCTGAAAATAATGTAACACTATATAAACATATAATACACATAAAAAAACAGCGCCTTTTATATCAGTGAGTTATTTTGATGGAATGGCTGATATCCGATATTTAACTTTATCGCTAATATCGGGTGATACCGATACCATGCCGATAATATTGTGCATATCTTATAGTCTGAAAAATACGGTACTTAGCTATCTCTGATCAGATAAAACCTTACATGCATTTTAAAACACAATCAAAACTGTCCAAATTTGCATCTGTCTCTGTGTCTTGGCAGGTTGAAGGAGTGCCTGAATTTGCAAACAGTGCCTTTACTCAGCTGCTGAGCCTCTATAAGATGGACTGTGAGCAGTTCTCCGATGCAAAGAGGACTTTTTATTCTACCCTGCTTCAGAGAATAATGAAGCTACCCTGGGAGGCCAAAGCCAAGTATCATCACCTCTGTGCTCTGCTGCCACATCTGGGTACTGGCGTGGTAAGGATTTAGGAGCCGCTATATCCTTAATTAAAGACTTTGCACTCACATGTTGCCTTTATTTGTAAAACTAACAGTAATGATGATCACAGTGAGTTTTAAATACTTTGTCTCCATCAGGTGATGGATGGATACTCTGAGGTGTTCAGTCATTTTCTGAAGTGTTTATCAACCAATCACCTGTCACCGTGTGCAGCACAACTGTATAAATGTCTGGTCCAGCAGCAGAGGAGGGAGCTCTGTGAAGGATCAGAGGAGTCTTCCTCTCTCACTGAGCTGGAGCTGGCCGGGCACTGGGCGAAGCGTTGGCAGCCGTTTCTTCACGAGGTTCTGACGTCCGATGTGACTCTTCTGCTGAACAACGGCTCATCACACCTGCTGCCCTGCACCTTTCAGGTTTTCCCCTCTGCAGTTGACCTTTTGCTAGCTGCTCTGGACCCTCGTGAGCCTGGGCACCTCCATGCTTGGACCTGCGTCCTGAGCTCTCACCGAGCCGTTACCGGCTGCTCTCCGTGGTCCCTTCAGGGTGGCTCCACCTTGGGAACGCTGCAGCTGGCTCTGGGGTCTGCAGATGATAAAATCCGCCTCGCTGCCCTCAGTCTGCTCTGTTGCAGCCCAAAGACTAAAGACACCCCAACTACAGAAGAGATGGCGACACTGAGGGAGTTCATTCCTCAGAACCTGAACTGCGAGTCCTCGTCGTTTCGTCAGCATCTTCAGGCCGGAGTGAGGAAGTTTCTGGTTCGCGTCAGAGACGGCTGTTTGGCACTGATCAGAGGAGCGAAGAGCAAAAAGAACAGAGACGACGTTCCTGAGAGAACGCAGGACGTTCTGGAGCAGATAGGTGAGGAAAACACGGAGCTGCAAGTGCATGTTCACAAGAGCCCAAAAGCTTCGTTTAACAGTTTGTTGTGTTTTCAAGTCAGTTGAATTATTTCACAACATATTTGCGGAGCTTCTCACTTTCTGAGAATGATTGATGGTATCGTATTTTTCAGACTTTAAGACGCACTTAAAATCCTGTAATTTTCTCAAAAATCAACAGCGAGCCTTATAATCATAATTATAATGCGCCTTACGGTCCGAAAAGTAATTATTTTAACACGACAGTAAAGTTGAACTTTTGAAGTAAAGTTCAAAGAGTTTCATTTAGGCAGCGTAGTTCAAAACATTTGTTTTCTTCAGGTATTTTTTTATGTAGTTTTGCCTCCGTGTCGTTTTTTTATTTATATTGTATAGATTTTGTGGAGTGGTTAAGCCAGCTTCCCTACTGCCACCTGGCTCCAGGACACAGCTACCAGAGGAAGAAGACTGCGCTGCTGCTGCTCTCTGCTGTGCTGGAGACGTGCACGGACACCTGGAGTCCTGACAGGAAGAAGGGACAGCCTCCAGGTCAGAGGCCGGCTTCCTGTAGGAATAAATCACTTTGATGTTTACTTGTGTCTGAATATGCACAGACTGCTTGTCATTTATAGTTAGGTGGGTTTATCACATTTTATTTTTTATTAATTTTGTAAAAGTCACAATGAAGCAATTGTCACAAGACTTGCCGTGTCAGATTTAACAGCGAGCTTCTTTCCATCTGTAGAAGTTAAAAGCCTCCAATCTTTAAAGAAATGCGTATCATCTGCCACTTTTCAGGTCAGAGTTTCAAACAGTCTGGTTTTATATTTAGGTGAAATCTTAAAAAAAATGATGTTATTCAAGACTTCACAAACTTTCATGAGATCTTGTGCAAGTTATTTATCTACGCAAATCAGAGCAGGAGTCGACGAACATCAAATATTTCAACATCACATTTTAGCTCAATATCTGTCAGACTTAAAGTCGTGTTAGTGTTGGATGATCAGCTGTGGCCATTTGGAACTGGACTGAGTTTCATTCAAATCTGTCCAGTGGTTCATGAAATATTTTGCTAACAGATTGACAAACACACACACAAAGGATCAGAGGTAATAGCATAATTGTCCACTAGTGAAAGGTTAAAGTTCCCATGGGTTTTCAATAGTGTGAACAATAATGAAGCTTTCACACTATTGTGATCCATTTTTCTTCTGTACATTTTTAGCATGGTTCTCGTCCTGCAGTTTTCAACCTGTTTCAACAAATCATAAATCAAAATGTTCAGCTCGTTCAGGACAATCCTGCTGCGACTTTTGGTATTGGTGCAACTTTAGCGTTTTGAAATATTTAGCCTTTTCTGCTATTTTTACATCCTTCAAATCTTCAGCTCAGTTTACAGCCTTTTACTGCTCCTTTCACATTTTGTTCTGGTTCAGCTAATTTCAGCTGGATTTTTTTTTTAGCAGTTGTGTGCTCTTTTCAGGTTATTTCTGCTAATTACAGCTTGTTATGTTCCTTTCAGCTTATTTTTGCTAGTTTCAGTTATTTCAGCTACTATTTATCTGTATTTTTTGCTAATTTATTCTTTTTCAGCTAATTTTCTAATTTTTGTGCTAATTTCTGTTTATTTAAACCTAATTCAGCAAATATGTGTTATTTCTGCTTTCTTCTGCTAACTTACGCTTGTTCTTCAATTTCAGCTACATTTCAGCATGTTTTTAGCTAATATCAGCTGTTATTCAGCAAGTTCTTCAGCAATAAGCATTACACTGCATTTTCGCAGGAAATGCAATATCTCCAGTTTCTTTTGCTCCTTTTTATTTTCTTCAATTTTTTTTGTACAAAATAATTTTAAACTTCAGCAAAACAGGTTCTACTGAAGTATACGATGGTAGTACATACTTGTGTACATGACTGCATTCCAAAAATAACAGTATATGTAGTTTTTTTTCTGTTGATACTTTATTTTAACTTGTTTTTGCAGCAAACATTGGAGCTCTTATTAACTGTGCCAGACAAAGAGGACTTTGGGATTTCTTCAGCAGGACCAAACAGCTGGTTCTTCTCAGCTGTCTGGAAGATTCCACAAATGAGGTGGAGCTATTTTATTTGATAACACCTTTTAGTTTAAACTGATGGTTTAGACTGTGAAAATGCTTTTTTTGGGGGGCAGATTCGAGAGCTCTCCTCCGAGCTGTTGTTGAGGTTTTTTCCACCCAGTTTCGCAGACGACATTGCTGAAGTGCTGACTGTGAGGACCAAGCAGCTTCTGTGCAGTCCTCGGGTTCAGGAGGCTCAAATGGGAGCGCTCATGATGAAGGTCCTTGTTCAGAAGTAAGCTTCACTTCCTCTCACAAGACTGTTTTAGATGATGAAAAGTTCTCAGTATTTTTTCCTCTGTAGATCAGGACATCAATGTGAAGACTGTGAACTGAACTCTGGAAGAGACCCAGAACCCTTCTGCGTGGTCACAGTCCTGGTGAGGGAACTGGAGGAGCATTATCAGACAGCCAAAACAGACATGATGCTCGCTGCTCGAACAAAACCCATACACGGTGAGAGTTAAGATCCACGCTTGTCAGAAATAATCCTGAGATAATGTTTCTCTTTGTTTAAATCCTCTAGCATTTATATATTTCAGGTGTCCTCTGTGCCCTGCAGAGATGTTTGCTGGAGGCACCAAACCAACTCTGTGACACACTCGATACCAGTGTGATGGAGAAGATGCTGGTTCTCCTGGAGGACGTCTCTCTGCTGCTGCTTGCTGTTCTGCACGGAGACCAGGAGGCTGGTGAAACGAGTAACGAGATGTTCGGCACAAACAGATCAACCTTATTTCAGGCCTTTTTGTCATCAAATACTCTGATGTTTTCTTCTCTTAGATGCTCCTCCTTCCTTTTGTGAAATGGGAAATGCCATCAGCTCTCTGATATCCCAGCAGTCGGGGGAGGGAGAAGCCGATGGAGAGGAGTGCATCCTTCTGTCTGAGGAGCACAGCCTTGTTCTCACCTGCTGCTGGGTCTCCCTTAAGGTGAGACAGCTTTGTGTTCATGCTGGAGAACTCTTCATATTTCAGCTCAAACTTCCCGTCATTTGTTTGTGATGCTTTTTGTTTAAAATTAGGAAATAGGAATTCTCTTAGGTTCTTTGGTGGAGAAAATTCTCACAGAAACGAAACAACACAGCGAGTGTCTTCTGACAAAACAAGACTTAACAAGAGTTTCAAAAGTATTCAAGGATATTCTTCTCAAATGCCGCCACTGGGTATGTATTTTTTATCTATTTACAGACATGAACTAGAGAATTTGCATTTCAGTGTGAATGCCTCTTGCTTACGAATGTCAAGAAAACAGTTGAAAAGTAGCTTAAATAGCAGAAAGAAACTTCAAATATCAGAAGGAAGCAGAATATGCACAATCGTTCCTAATGTAATCGACTGCCAGGCTGCTGCCGATGTAAACTCTTGATCTGACTGTACTATGTGTTTGGGTTTGCTCTCAGCTGCCACTGTACCAAATTTCAGCTGAGTAACTCTAAAAATGCCAGAGTTATTGTATTTTTTCCTTTTTTGCTAAGGCGGCCATCTTGGATTTTTGATTTTCACTCAGTCTATTAGGGATCGTTGTCAGCTACCAATACGCCTATTTTTAGCTGAATAGCTCTAAAAATGGCAGAGTTATCCTAGTTTTTCTATGAAACAGCTGAATAGTAGCTAAAGAAATGCAGAAAAAAGCTTAAATTTCCAAAACAAAGTGGAGGGAGCTTAATTTTGCCCACTAAGGCTGAAAAAGGCAAAAATTTGCACTATAAAGTTGAAATTATCTGAGAAAAGCTGTCATTTGCCAAAAACAGCTGAATAGTAGCTAAAACAAGCAGAAATAAGCTTCAATTACTAGCAGGAAGTCGGGGGAGCATGTTTTTGCTGAATTAGGCTGAAAAAGTTTAAATGATTGCAAAAAATGTGGATTTAGCTGATAAAGATTACATTAGCCTAAAAAACAGCTAAATGCTAGCTGAAATAGCAGAAATAGATGAAACCTACAGAAATAAGCTAAAAAGAGCACAACAAGCTGAAATTAGTCTAAATAAGTCTGAAGAAGCATAAAAATCTTCAGGTTAGCTGAATGAAGCTGAAAAGAGCACATAACAGCTGGAAAAAAAAGCTGAAATTAGCTGAACTAGCTGAATTTTTCTAGAAATGTGCACAAGGAAGCTGAAAGAAGTTTAATCAGATCTAAATTTGAAAGTAGCAGTAAAAGGTTGTAAACAGATCAAAAGTTATGAAAGATGTAAAATGAGCTCAATTCATTTTCAATGGGGAAGAAAAAGGCTAAATATCTCAAAAAGCTAAAGTTGCACCAATACCAAAAGTCATAACAGTCATGTCCTGAAACAGCTGAACATTTTGATATATGATTTGTTGAAATAGTCCAAAAATTGTGAGTAGTTAGATGCCGACAAACGTACAAAAGAAAAAGTGGATCTCAATAGTGTGAATATAGGCATTCACACTATTAAATGGATCAATTTATTTCTAGATAATACCATTTTTTGTCACTAGGGGGCAGTGGAGGGCTGCTGCATAGGCTTCACAAAGCTCTGCGCCTCCCTGCTGAGCAGCACTGATCCACAGCTTAAAGATATTCCAATACAAAGGCTGAAAGAGGTAAGTGATGCTTTTATTTACTTTTATTGGTAAAGTAGAATCCGAACCACTTGATTTTGTATTTATTCCTCTGCTTTTCTTTTTAAGGGACTGCAGGTTGTGCGTTGCCCTCGTTCTGCATCTGTGACCCGGCGGGCTGCGGGGCTGCCTATGCTGATCCTGTGTGTTTTATCAGCAGAGGAGGCCAGTAAAGCCAGACCACTGTTAGCCTCCAGTATGGAAGCCTTGATGGACACAGCCAAAACTCCTCTGGATAAGAACTGGGACCAAACCTTGGACCTGCCACAGGTGTCTGAACACACCAGCAACGTCACGGTTTTTTCGTAGTTGGTTTTAAACAGGATGTGATACCTGGTGTTTCCTCTGCAGGTGTGTGCGGTTCACACTCTGCAGGCGTTGGTGCGTGGAGCAGGTTTGGGAGCAGCAGTCCTACAGTTCGCACCTTCTGTCATCATCTTGTCTCTCACTCTGCTCAGTTCTCCCTGCTGGGCCATGAGGAATGCTGCTCTGCAGCTTTACAGTGAGACACAAACATATTTAAAGTTTGCTTTCAGCCTTAGTTTGTAGCATGGAGGACTTCATTAACGATCTTATTATTAATTACATCAACAATCTAGAAGTTGGATGCTGGAAATAATGAAAAACTGCCCATTTCAGTTTTACAAAGTGATTACGAGTTACTATTAATATTTGTCAGTTATCTGCAGGGGCAGAGACAGAAAAACATGCAGGACATTTTGTTCGTGACTCTTCACTATTTGAAATCTGTTTCTAGGTTCTTTGTGCTCTCGAATGCTTGGCCAGCGGTCGGGCAGTGAGGAGGCTGGTCTGACCCAGCACAGCATGTCCCCTGCTGCCTTCTTCTTCCACTACCCTGCGCTCCAGCCTTTCCTCCTGGGCGAGCTCAGAAAGGCAGCACAAGACCTCCAGGGTCCAGCAAGCGGGGCCAGACTACACCTCCAGCCCTCGCTTTACCCAATCCTGACCCTGCTGGCCCAACTCCAGCCTGGCGTCCAAGACCCATCAGAGTAGTTTCTGTCTACGTATCTTTAAAGAACTCAGTGTTTTTATTGTAAAACTGAGGTATAAAAGGATTCTTCAGTTCTTTGGAGCATGGATTTGTATTATGGAACAACTAGTGACTTTTTGAGTTTAGTTGAAATTACAGTGTGGATGAGGAGTGCTGAATGTCTTTGCTAATATTTGAGGAAGAAGCTGAAACCAATAGCTACACATAGCTAAAAGCTAGAATTAGCAAAGATTTACCTTAAAGCTAACTGTAGCAAAATTGTAACTAAAATTAGCAAAGGATTAGGCAAAATAAGCATATGAAGACAAAACAGAACGTGCTGAAGTGTATCTCAGAGATCTAAATTTATTTCTGTGGGAACATTTGTTTTACATAAAGTTGCAAAACCTAAAAGTTATGGCACACTCAGGCTAATTCATGTAATTCGTTCGAAAAATGTACAGAATGTTTCAGGTTTTTTTTAACCATAGTAAATGTCCTCTGTTTTATTTATTTATTTTTTCTTGTAGAACTTTGTTGGACTTCCTGCATCCCTTACTCCAGCTGTCTGCAAGTCCCATTTACAGTGTGAGAGTCAAGGCGTCTACAGCTCTGGTTGCCATGACTCCCTCCTCACACTACACTGACATCCTTATCAGACTGGCCTCTCAGCTGCCCGGTCCTCTGGAGTCCTGCAGCCACAACCAGCTCCACGGTCAGCTGCTGCAGGTCAGAGCCATTCTGGACAGAGCTCTCTGCACACACAGGTGGGATTTCAAAGTGCTGATCATTCACTCATTCATCAGAAATGTTCACATGTTTCTTTGCTTTTGCCAGTGGACTTTCAGGTGACCTCCATGAGGTGCTGAGCAGGGTCCAGACCTCTCTGTGGTTAGGGACTGGAGCTCAGCGCTGCCCACTAGTGAGAGCAGCATACCTCCGAGTGGTGGACTCTCTAAGAGAAGGTGCTTGTGAGAACTTCCTGTCGCAGCTCAGCGACGCACTCATCCATGGTCTCAAAGCCCCTCAGCAGGGTCTTCAGGTGTGTTCCAACCATATGTTAGAAACAGTGGACTTTTCAATCTGTTAATAATTATAAACCTTTCCATTAAAAAAACAGACTTTTATTTTGAAGCCTTGAATTGCACCAGGAACATTATTTTACCACCATAGCATATAACAACCTAATAAAGTCAAAATATTTGACAGTAATTTCACTGTAAGCAGCTGGTTCATAAATGATAGCAGCAAACACAAAACAGATACTTGCTGAATGCTGTTTTATGGCATTATTAGCAGAAATCTAACCAGACACCACTTAAGCTGCATAAATGTTCAATGTTTAGCTAGCTTGGCTATGGTAGCCACTAGTTTTGGAAAATTTGGAGTAACAATAAAAGTAACATTCTTTGAAAATATGCATATTGTTTACTACCTTGTATGCAGGTTTTAAACTAAGATCTTGTGTGATTTTTTTTTTACTACTTAGTGATGAGGAGGATGCTTGGCTACTACCACACCAAACTTTAGCTCAGTGTCTGTAAAACTGACTGAGTTATAGCTACTGTTGTGATCACTAAGATTGATTAGCCATGACAACCTTTTTAAATCAGGTTGATATAATTTAATCAATTATGACTAATTTCTGAGAGTTTTTATTTAAATCTGTTAACTGGTTCATGAGATACTTTGCCAACATATTAGCAGGTTTTACTCCAGCAGCTAATGACAAAGTTTTAAACTATAACCTTGCACGGTCTGTTAGCACTCGGCTACTGCCACACCAAATTTTAGCTCATTATCCGTTATAGAGGCTGAGTTATGTGTTATATGCTAAGTTGTGTCGCTAATGTTCAACAGCTGTGGCAGCCGTCTTGATTATTATTATTTTTTCTAAAGGTAATTGGTTGTAGATGTGCAGCCAATGAATATTTTCTGAGAGTTTCATTAAAATTTGTCCAGTAGTTCATGAGATATTTTGCCAACACATAGACAAACACACTTTACATTAGATTATTAGTAATAGGGGACATACCGGTAATTGACTTTAAATAAGATTAGATGTGTTATTGCATCATTTTACCCTTTTTCTTTAAAAAAAAAGGTGCATTTTCTTGCCATTAAATTTTTTCATTGTAATAAATGGATAAGAACAACAAGTGGACTTTGTGTTCCTGCAGCTTTTAAAATGTAATGATTTCTTACATGTTACTCATTAAGTTAGTTGTCATACTGACTCAGCCACAGACCTCTCGAACCAAACAAATATTTTACTGATGAACATTTGGCTCTGGGACATTGTACTGCAGCAGCTGCTCTTTATTAGCAACATTAGTAAACTCAAACGCCCAGTTTCTCCAACTCTACATGCATCTCACTGCATAGATCAGAAAAAAATGCCCACATTTTAGTGTTAACTTCAACATTTTGTGAAGAACCACCATACTAATTTAGAGAAACAAATCATGACGTTTTGCAGATTGAAGATTGAGCATTCATGTTGAGTATAATTGATTTTAATAAGCCAACAAATGTGAATTCTGTACTTTTAAGCCACAAGTTAAAGGTCGCAGTTATGTTATAATCAAATAGATGTCTATTTTTTTTAATTGTTTTCCGCACAGGTTGGGTTATCATCTTTCCACCAAGAAGTCATCCATTTTTTATGTGCAGACCAAAAGTGGGCTTGTAAAATCTGGGAGCATTTCCCTACATTTAGCATCGATGTGAGGCTTTCGTTAATTATGTTGCTGCCGGCGAGGCGAGGTTTGCATCAGACGGGCTTGAAGGACGTCATTCAAAGGGCGCTGCAGGTAAAACTTGATCTGATCTCATGACTCAGACAGAGAGAAGAAAAAAAAAAATCAACTAGTTTAGCAACTTCACTTCAACGCACGTTTTGCAAAACAAAGCCTGAATAATTTAGATTTAGAGCCGAGCTTGAATGTAATGTTATCTAAAACTTAAGTTTTTTTTTCTTTGTCCTGGTATCTACTATATTGCATTATCTCTAGACTCCAGTTGAGTCTTCCTAAAGTTATCAATGCTGTTTAGTGATTAAAAGACTCTTAAATCTTGATAAGATGCTCTTCTGACAGTGGGTAAAGACAGACTACTGTTTATGCGATTAGTTTTACAGCATGTGGTTCATTTATTCACCCACTGATTAGTCATTTCAAATTAAATTGTCACAAACACACTTGTCGTGCTCAACGTGACCATTAAAGTGTTCTCCATCTTCAGTCAGTCTTGAAGGAGGCTTTGTTGAGCGACAGCGTGGAGTATCGCACTGCCTTCCTCACCGCTCTGGTCGTCGTGATGACTGCTGTACCTTTTCCAAATTCGAGTCCCCCAGCGGAGCCTTTCCTGCTCGAGTGTCTGGATTTGTTACTTACAGACTTGCAGGAGCAGAAAGGTGGACCAGAGTTTCTGTCCCAGGCTCTGAACGTTGCCAGTTTGCTGCTTTCCCAGTGGCCACACTCCAGGTTTTTATACATTTTGTCATCTTTTTTAATCAAAAGTAAAAACCCGGTCTCAATCATTTCTTCCTCCTGCTCTGACTTTCTTCTTATGTTTTGCTAACCAGTGTAAAGCTATCTAAGCTCCAAGGCTGGTGTGATATCTTGGAGCGCCAACGGGCTCCAGATGCCCCTGAAGTGCTCAGGCTGGCGTGTGGTGAAGCTCTTTGTGTGGCTGGAGCTCCACTCATCAACAGCCTGAGAGAACATAGCGCTCTCCCTGCTGTCATAATGAGGTAATAATCTGATTAGGTTGTAGTTTTTAAATATAAACTTAACTTAAAAGTGCTAAATGTTCCTGGTGTAGGTTGATCAACACAGGCCTTTACCTGCTGCAGGACCAAAGCCAGCCGGTGAGGCTGAAAGCGGCCTGTTTTACCTCGTCGCTTCGTCGTGTGACAAGAGGAGACAAGATCTGCATCATGCACGTTAACCAGGCTCTGCCGCTCCTCCTGGACCTGCTGGTGGAGGAATGCTGGGAAACTACTGGCACACTGGAGGTGCTGCTGTCCCACCTGCCTCAGTCTGATCCCAGATCTGTGCTGAGAGAAGCTTCAGGAGCAGGAGGGTGTGTGTTACCTCGCTGAATCTGTATACCTGTCTGAACCGGCGTGTCTCAACTGCTTCTCTGTCATTGTTTATCTTTTCCTCAGGTGTGCCAGCCTGTACGAGCAGGATGAAGCCAACGTGTTTGCAGAGCCCTCTGTCATGTCTGCACATGTGCTACCTTACCTGCTGCAGATGGCTGAAAAATCCTCTCAATCCTCTGCTTTGGCACACACTCTGAGTACTTGGGCAGAAGGGAATGCTGCACAGGTGCTAGACAACCTCGCAGTTTGTGAAAAGCTCCAGCCAGGTATCACATTAGCCTCTTAATGTCAGTATAATAATCTATGACATTAACATCTATTTGGGGTTGCATAGTCTCTGTTTTGTGTGTTAAAATGCAACTTATTATTCTTTTTCTAGCAAAGACATTGACTTCCTGTTGGCTGGCTCTCCTCACTGACCCCCGTTTCCACAGCAGCCTGTGCGGCCTGCTCACCAGGGCTGCCTTCTTTCTCCGTCTCCTGAAAACACTCGCTGGTACGCGACACCTTTGCGATCCTTTGTCCGTGCAGAAGCGTTTGCAGGACGTTTGCAAACTGCTCAGTCAGAATGGGGTTCACTTCCCCTCTGCTTTCACAGCTGCTGTGGCTGGACTGTGACTGAACAGGGGACTTGTTTTCAAACGATGGATTCATGTTCGATGTGGCCCAAAATAGCGCGACTTGATATTTAAAGAGTGACATAGAGACGCTCTTCTCAAATGACGATTGCACTTGCTGATGCTGCAGTAAACCAGCCCTTTAACGTTGTTATATAATACCTAAGTGGTTCCCGCTACTGAAAGGGGGGCCCTTTGAGCACCGAGTGTCAAAGTGGGGAAGAGTTTTTAACATATTCTGAAAAAACTTTATTTTACTGAGCTACATTCACAACAGTTGCCTCAGGTTCTCATATCTGATTTATGTTCTGAGCAACAACAGTGGCAGGACTGATGCAGTGATGTAATGCAGCAGCAGCATCTGGGAAAAACTGCCCCAAGGGGGGGAGAGTATGGTGTGCGGTTTAATTTTCCATTAGAAGCCTTTAACCACGATAAGTGTCCATTTTCCAACCACATGAGAGCCGATGATGTGCGAGTGGGTCTGATAGAAGGCCTTACATCATCGGTTTGTCTTTTTGAGATGGACGGCTGTCTGGATTAAACAACCACTAACATGAGAGACATGCTGCGATTGGGCACGTTAGATTTCTGCTCCAGTTTTATCGGGGGGATTCAGTAGGTATAGATCAGCCTCTGTCTGCAAAACAGAAAAAAAAAAAAAAAAAAAAAAAAAAA